CCCGCCCCCATCTATTCTCTGCCTCCAGAGTCCCAGCTGATCGGGAGGAAATGGGGATTTTGCAGTAACCTTACACTGCCCCGCCCACCAAGCCATGCCATGCCCACCAAGCCACACCCACAGAACCGGTAGTAAAAAAAATGTTGAAACCCACCACTGGCGTGAACCTTGGAAATGCGCATTGTCCCCACACGTCTTCTGCCTTTTGTCTTCCGTCCCCATCGTCCTCATCCTTCTCTTTGTTCCTCAGTGACCCAGCACATTAAAGACCTCCTGGAGAGAAACAGTAAGAAGAAGTCCAAATTGAGAAAAAAGCCCAAACCTTATGTCGAAGACCACGATGGTAGGGCGTGAGAACCAAACCTTCCTTTAGCAGCCTCTTCTCCTTAGTCTAGTCAACGACTTCCTTTTTTTTTCTGCAGCTTCTTAGTCTCTGCTTGGTCTCCCCATAACACGGCTTCATTCTTCTCCTAGCTGCTAATGTTGGGGGGTGGGGGGCGCCTCTACATCCTGATTTTGGGTGGACGGGACCTACTGCTAATCACCTTTTCTCCAACACCCTACTGACTTCAGTTGAACCTTCCGAGGTGCTCGTGGTCAAGGCTGGCTCTGCCACAGATTGTCCTCTGCAAGTTGTCCTCCCACCTCACTGGGGAGTCAGGAATGTGGGGGAGCGAGGGTTGTAAGAGGGAAAAGCAGTTTTCCTATCCAGGAAGGGGGGACTGACCTCCTTCCATTCGTCCGGCCCGTCTCACGCCAACATACCCATGGATGTAGGTTCACGGGCCACATGGCTGCATCCGGTGAACCTGTAGCCCCAATGCGTGATTGACTGCACGATAACGTCATTTATGGAACCCAGGGTTACTGTGGAACCCATATTACGACTGCAAAGTTTTAACGGGCCGTGACTCAGGGGTCTCCAAACTCGGCGACTTTAAGAGTTGTGGACCTCAACTCCCAGAATTCCTCAAAATGCTGGGTGGGGAATTCTGGGAGTTGAAGTCCACAAATCTTGACAACAAGCCTGTTAGGTATTTCAGCGTCCTGTGAGGACAAGAGAGCAGAGCTGGAGGGCTCTTGCAGAGGGCACCTGTGCTAGAGATGAGGGTGGGGGGCAATGTTTAAGTGTCCACCTGCCTGGACAAAAGTTGGGTGTCCTGGCCAGAAGAGAAACTTCAAGGGCTTAGCCCACCATCCTTCAGGTAAGAAACCGACCAGGATAATATATGTCTCATCTTCCTTCTGTGGGTCAGAGTTGGAGCCACAAGGGTCCTCCAGAACTCACAGTGAGGTCACACCATGCGTGACATCACTTTCTCCATCTGAGGAGGTCCATGGAGGGTGGTAGTGGCTTCATAAGATCTCCCAACTCTAGGCTACGTCAACAAGAGATGTTCCACCTGAGCATCCTGGACGAGAAGATCTTTCTCCCTGTGGTACCTGGGTGCTCTCTGAGCTCGGAGGTTTCCTTGCAGACGTCTTATGGCCCAACTAGGTAACATCATCAGGGCTAGGAGAGTGTAGGGTTGGGTCTTGGATGCTTTCTAAGCTTGGTTGTTTTCTTGGCAAGCATTTCATGACCCAAGTAGGGAACACCCTCAGTGCTAGAAGGGAGGGAGGTTGGGTCCTGGGTGGTCTCTGAGCTTGGTTGTTTTCTTGCAGACATTTTTTGACCCAACTAGGTAACATCATCAGTGCTAGAAGGGAGCAGGCTCGGGTTCTCTACATTTCTTCACCTTAGTTGTTGGGTTTTTTTTTTTTGCCAACATTTCATGACCCAACTAGGGAACATCATCAGTGCTAGCTAAGTTTTCACACTCTGGACAAATGCTAGAAGAAGGCCAGCCTGTTTGAATGAACGGAAGAGAGCTGTTGTCCAAAGTTCAGAAGCCCTTTTGAGTTATGTTTGAAGCTTGCATTTTCCTAACAGGCAGAACATAAGAATTTAATCGATGCCCAAATGTCATCAAATACATAATCCCCGTCATCTCTCAGGGACATGATCCATGTGACACCGAGGTGGGTTTCAGCAGGTTCTGACCAGTTCTGGAGAACCGGTAGCAGAAATTTTAAGTAGTTCGGAGAACCGGTAGTAAAAATTCTGACTGGCCCTGCCCCCATTTATTCTCTGCCTCCCGATCCCAGCAGATTGGGAGGAAATGGGGATTTTGCAGTAACCTTCCCCTGGAGTGGGGTGGGAATGGAGATTTTGCAGTATCCTTCCCCTGCCACGCCCACCAAGCCACACCCATCTAGCCACACCCACCAAGCCACGCCCATCTAGCCACACCCACAGAACCAGTAGTAAAAATTTTTGAAACCCACCACTGATGTGACATCATCGTGGCACCCTCCGGGTATCTATAAGCACTGAGTATTTTGGGTTTTCTCTTCTGCTTTGACCCACTCGGTTGTTGGGTCCGGAAGCAGAACATTAACCAAAATTCAGAGAATCCTCCACTTAACGACCACAATTGATCGTAAGCAACATTTCCACTGCTAAGTGGTTTAGTGAGTTTTGTCCCATTTTATGACCTGTTTTGCCACCTTCTAGCAAACAAAGTCAACGGGAGAGCCAGATTCCTAACTTAACAACCCCGGCGGTTCACTTAACAACGGTGGCAAGAAAAGTCGTAAAAGGATGGGAAGCTCACTTAACCACTCTTTCGCTTCGCAGCTTAAATTTTGGGGGTCCATTGTGGTCTCAAGTCGAGGCATACCTGGATTCTGGCTTTCTCAACGGTCCCTTACAAGCATGGTTAAGTGTGATTGCAAAGAATCTCTCTTCCGGTTTTAATTCCTTATTGCCCAGGATTGTTGCATGACGATAATTTTGAAAATTAAAATTAAAATTATCTGTCTGCCCTTTGCAGACAGACCCCTGTTTCACAACTGATGCAAATGAAAAAATATAAGTATTGTGGCCAAAAATTGGGGAAACCTTTTGGGAAAAGTGTATTTTTGAGGTTTGATGGCTAATAACACCACTTTTTTTTGGAGTTTCAAGATAATCCTATTCCACTGCTGGAATGGCCTGGGAATAGCCCGGACCTTCACCCAATTGAAAATCTATGGAGCTGACTAAAGAAACTGGTTAGTCAGAAGTGACCCAGCAATAAAACCCAGTTAATCAAATTCGATCTTGGTTTCACATTAGAACAGCTGCAGAACTCAAAGACTTGGTTCACTCCATGGGAAGACGTTGTAAGGCCGTCATTCATGCTAAAGGTTACCCAACGAAGTATTAACTGACATGGTGACAATTTTTGTATATCTCGTTTTTTCTATGGTGATCATTTTTGTACACCTCATTTTTCCTATGGTGATCATTTTTGTACATCTTGTTTTTTCTACATGTTTCACTTTCCTTCTTTATACCGTAACTGCTATTCTGATAGCAAATCTTTCAAACAAGTTATGGCATTACATTCTTGATTAAATTATCTTTCCATTGATACATAATTTTATGGTACTAGAAAAAAATAAATGGTGTAATGATCTAGTTTTAGAAAATACACTTTTCCCAAAAGAGTTTCCACAATTTTGGCCACTACTGTATATAGCAAAAATCCTAATTTTAGCATCCATCTCCAAAGGTTTCTCTCCTGGAACGCTGTGTCTTTCTATCCAGGAATGTCTGAGGTGGGTTAGAGGAACATCAAAAAAGCTAAGATGACTTTTTTGACCTACCTGGTCCCAAACTCCTGGCATTCTTGCTCAGCTGATTTCGACAACGGACGCCTTCCCTATAAAATAAGGGCTGATTGGATTATTTGGGGAAAGCCGAATGGCGGCAGGTGAAAACGCATTGATTAAAATTCTGCCCCCACCCCACCCCCCGCCACCCCACTTAACGTGGCTGCTAATTTATCCATTTGGGGATTTCATGAAACGTATCCCAAGCAAATCAAGATTAAAGCTAACCATGCACAGCATATAAATAGTAAATCGCAACCGGGAAGAAGGGAGCAAGAATCAAAAGCACGCTCTGTGTTGTATCTGCGCGCGCACACACACACACACACACGTTCTTCTCCTCGTCCCAAAGGTTCTTTTTTTCCCCCCAAGAGGACACTGGACTTTCTGAATTTTTTGTTTTTGAAGATGTTTCACTTCTCATCCCAGAAGCTTCTTCAGCTCTGACTGAATGGTGGGGAACGGAAGGATTGATACTCCTTGCAGACACAGCTGGTCATTTGCATCCTTTTTAGAGGGTCGTTGAGGCCACTTGGAGGCTTATCTGTGTCATCAGGGTCACCTGAGTGGTGCAAATGGGTGTGGAACCTTCTTGGGACTGCCGAAAGGATCATGTTGTGCAGCTGTGTTTTCTGCAGGATGTTTTCTGCCCTCTGTCCCTTCACGGTGGAATTCAGGCGTAGGCCATTGGGGACGAGTCTGTGTTGTCTCCATCTCAAAAGATGGAGTGTGGATGGTTCCGGTAGTCTGCAATTTTTCTGCAGACTTTGGGGAAAAAAATCCCCATTTGCACTACTCAGGTGACCCTGAGGACACGGACAGACCTCCAAGTGGCCTCAACAAGCCTCGAGGCTTGGAGGTCTACCTGTGCCAAGGCTTGTGGTCCTAGAGTGTCAGTTGTAGGTCTCCTGGATTTGAGGTTAATGGCCAGAGTGAGTTCATAGCATTCAGGAAGAGGCAGAAGAAGGAAGTGCCACCTGGCCAAGAGCTGACTTGATGGGACTCCAGAGAACGCTGCTGAGATGGGATCTTGTCTAAGCCCCACCAGGGCCCTTCTCGGGTAGGGACTTCAGGAAGATGCTCAAGACAGATGGGGAAGAGGGTCTGCTTGCCATGGGACCTCTTGTGCAGGACACCTTGCTGGTTGCATTGCTTCTTCTCATTCAGCCGCTTGGGTCTCTCCTCTTTGCCCCTTCCTCCTGGGGTGGCGGCTCGTGAATTGTCCTTGCTCTGACTTTCTCTCTCTCTCTCTCTCTCTCTTTCTCTTTCTTCCTCTCTCCTTCCTCCCTTCTCTCATGTAGGGGTGGCGGTAAGCACTTACGCCAAGTATTGTTACAGCAAGCTCCAGAAGGCAGCGTTGACTGGCGCCAAGAAGGTATCTCCTCTCCCCCTTTTCTCTTTTGCATCGTCTATCAAGGTGGCCTTGGGAGACCAGAGTTGGTGGCTAAGTGATCATGGGAAAGCGTGGGGTGGTTGGGTCGAAGTTGGAAGCCTATCCCAAGACATTGGAAGCCACTCCCGAATCTTGACCTTGATTGCATGTCAATGAGTGAGCCAAGACGTCCAACTCAACTCAACTCAAAAGGCCCTGGTCCTTTTGCCCAAGAGGGGAAAGTTGGTGGAGAGGTTAACTCAAGAGCTTCCTGTCCAGATGTTGTCTTGCTTACCAACATTTTTTTTTCCTCAAGGATTAAGAGGGCACTGAGAACTCCAGAATCAGGGACCATCAAAAACATCCCTGCAATGATGGGATTTTATGTGTTTATTCAATATATACCAGCAACCATCTCAACATGTGTGTGAGACTCTGGGCAGCTCACGAGGTTTAAAGAAAACAAAACCCTCATAGCACTTAGACTTATATACCGCTTCACAGTGCTTTTAGAGCCCCCTCTAAGCGGTTTACAGAGTCAGCCTCTTGCCCCCCAACAATCTGGGTCCTCATTTTACCCACCTCAGAAGGACAGAAGGCTGAGTCAACCTTGAAAGAAAATCCACCAGAAGCAAATGAAAGCAGGTAATGAAGCAAACGTCCATTAACCATTAAACATAAAATGTAGGAAGGGACCAGCCAGTAGAGGAGAGCCATCTCACCATCTCCAAAACCTTCAAGGGATCACCACGTCTAATCACAGGCCCGTCTTCTTCCAGCTCCTCCAAAAGGCCAGTAGGTCTTGTGCCAGGCCTCAAAAGGGTTGATATTTTTGATCCGCCTCTTGAAGATGCTCCTGGGCATCCAGAATTGTATGTCCGACAAGAAGGTAAAGCCACTTTGAGTCGCCATGGGTGAATAGGCAGCAATATAAATTTCATAATAAATAAAATAAATAATAAAGAAGGAAAGAGCTGGGTAGAAAGCAGAAAAGACTCCCAATTATGTAGTGCCAATAGAAGAGAATATTTGTCGCTCAGGATTGAACTCTGGGGTCCTTGGTTCTCTCTGAGCTGGGTGGTTTTCTTGCAGACGTTTCATGACCCAGCTAGGTAACATCATCAGTGCTAGAGGGAGTGGGATGTGCAGAGAGGAAGAAGAGAAGGAGGAGGACTGATATCCTTGGCGGTTCTCTTGCAGATGTTTTGTGTGTCAGTGGGGAACAGAAAGGGAGGGTTTTGGGTCTGGAAGTCAGTGTTGGCTTTCTGTCAGGTCGTCTCAAATAAATTGCATTTCAAACAAAGTCTTTGAAGGAAAACTCCTATTTATTAAGCATAACATTCTAAAACCCAACTCCATCGAAGCCAACACTGACTTCCAGCCCCCAAACCCTCCCTTTCCGTTCCCCACCCCCCTGCACTCATTGGCCATTTTCCAAGTCATTCTACCCCTAATCTACCGCTCCAGCTCAAAGGAATTTCCCCCCTCCCATCCCATCTCCTAGGGGATATTATCTCCAGGGAAAATAAGTAGGTGAAAAGTCAAACGTCCCTTTCCAGACGCCTCCGCCTCTCCTTCTTATGTCAGCACTAGAGTAAATGCAGTTTGAAGTGCTGACATCGTGACCCAACTGGGTAACACCATCAGTACAAGAATAGAATGGGGTTTGCGGAGTAGGGGAAGGGGAAGGAAGGGGAGGAGACGGGGGACATTATTAATACTCATAATAATAATTTTTAAAACTTACATGCCACCTAACTTTCCATGACTCTGGGTGGCTCACCATAATTAAGCAAACAAATGACAATATCAATCTAATTCATCTTCTCTATTCTCTCTGCAAACATGCATTTGAACGCATACCTTAAGGCAGTGATGGCTAACCTTTTTGGTGTTGCGCGCCAAAAGTGGGGGGAGCATGGGGGGGGTCGCATGTGCGGGTGCCCATATCCATAATTCAATGCATCCTGACCCCCCTGCGCATGCGCGCGTGACCCCCCCGCACTCCCCCCACTTTTTGCATGTGATGGCACAGTGGGCCAGGTAGGCCCGTTTTTCACCCTCCCCAGGCTCCAGAGCCTTTCTAGGAGCCTGCGGAGGGTGAAAACAGCCTTCCCTACTCCACCCGGAGGCCGGAAACAGCCCGTTTCCTGATTTCCAGTGGGCGCAGAAGGCCCGAAAATCAGCTGGCGGAGCTGACTTAAGGCAACACTCACGTGCCCACAGATATGACTCCACGTGCCACCTGTGGCATGCGTGCCATAGGTTCGCCATCACAGCCTTAGGGGTACATGTTTTTGAAAACATGTATATCCCAGATGGATGGATGGATGGGTGGATGGATGGATGGATGGATGGAAGGAAGGAAGGGAAGGAAGAAAGGAAAGGAGGGAGGAAGGATGGATGGATGGGTAGATAGGTAGATGGGTAGACAGATAGATAGACAGATAGAAAGATATAGAATGATGGATGGATGATAGGTAGATAGGTAAGATGATGGATGGGTAGATAGGTAGGTAGATTGGTAAGATAGATAAAATGGATGGATTGGATTGGTAGATAGACACAGATATAGATAGGTAGATAAGTAGATAGGTAAGGTAGATAAGATGATGGAAGGATGGATGGATGGATAGATGATGGATAGATAGACAGAAAAAAGATATAGAATGATGGATGGATGGATGGAAGATAGGTAGATAGGTAAGGTAGCTAAGATGATGGAAGGATGGATGAACGATGGATAGATGGATAGATAGACAGATAGAAAGAAAGATATAGAATGATGGATGGATGGATGGAAAATAGGTAGATAGGTAAGGTAGCTAAGATGATGGAAGGATGGGTGAACGATGGATAGATGGATAGATAGACAGATAGAAAGATATAGAATGATGGATGGATGGATGGAAGATAGGTAGATAGGTAAGGTAGGTAAGATGATGGATGGGTAGGTAGGTAGATATAGATAGATGGGTAGATAGGTAGGTAGGTAGATCAGTAAGATAGATAAGATGGATGAATTGGATGGGTAGATAGGTAGATAGACACAGATATAGATAGATAGATAAGTAGATAGGTAAGGTAGATAAGATGATGGATGGATGGGTAGGTAGGTACATAGGTAGGTAGATAGATAGATAGACTGACAGGCAGACATGATAAATAAATAAATAGATATGCTTAAAAGGCTCTGCTTGGGACTTCTCCCAGGCGAGGTGCCTCTCTGCGATTCATTCGTCCAGGCACACCTAGACGAACCTGGGCGATGCCATGCGTGCCTTAAAGGACCTGCATGTGAATCTCTGCAGTGATTCTGAGGGTCTCGAGCCGGGTGAGTTCCGAGGCCGGTAGGGCAGCCATGAAAAGCTGAGCCTGAGAACAAAAACAACAAAAAAAAAACGGGGCACCCAACTCTTGCCTTAGTGCGTTTTGGGTAGGAAACATCTCCCTTCCCTCTCTGGATTGCTGCCCTGACAGGTGAGGTCCCTGCTTGGGTTTTTCCAGCCCGAGTTGCATTCTTTGCTAATCCCGCAGAGAATGCACCTTTCTGATTTTGACTTCCTGCAAACCACCAACTGGGGGGGGGGGGGGGTGTGGGGCAGGGGCTCCACTTTGGAGAAGGCTGGGCATTGCCGTTTAACGCTGCCCTTACGTCACGCTTACGGCAAACACAGGTGGCGGCCACGCAGGAGCCGCAGCTGTCGCCTCTTCCCAGTTGCTAAGCTCTGCGTCCAGCTGGTTTGAGCCGCATAGAATGATTCACCGGGTCCCCGGTTTTCATCAGGACAAATGGCTGCAGCTCTCGGTTCCCCCCCCCCCCGCCCCAGCCCCCTCCACCCTCTGCCCCCAATTGGGAGGGAGAAGTGGAAAGAAGTAGAAGGCGGAGCACAGAATAAAAGGGGATTTATTTTAAGAGCAAGTTGGCCGGACTTCAAAGGAAGACCGAATTGAGCAAAGTGAAATAGCAGAGAATGTACGGAGTTGATCTCTAGAGATAGTCCTCGACTTACGTCCGTAATCATTTATTGATGTGTTTATTTGTTTGTTTGTTTGTTTGCTTACTAAATTTCTTTGCCGTCCGTCTCGTATCCAGCGACTCTGGATGGCTTACAATCCAATCGAGCCCAGCATTTCCGTTGCCAAGTGCGACCGTGGTGTGAAGTGAGTTTGGCCTCATTTTACGACCTTTCTGGTCCCCGCGAGTCTCTTGCCGTTGTCAAGTGAGCGACAGGGGGTCATTAAGCGAATCTGGCTTCCCCGTTGACTTTGCTTGTCTGAGGGTCGCAAAAAGGGGATCAACGTGACCTCGGGACACTGCCAACGTCGCAAATACGAGTCAGTGGCCAAGCATCTGAATTTTGATCACGTGACCCCGGGGATGCTGCAACGGTCGTAAGTGTGGAAAACGGTCCTAGTGCCGTTTTAAGTTTGAACGGTCACTAAATGAACCGTTGTAAGTCGAGGACTAGCTGTAACCCAAAAAAGCATTTATCTCCCATTACCAACTGCTAAGTGGGGGGATTGAGGCCTGTTGCCTCGGCTTCACGACCACAATTGAGCCCAGAATTTATGTGGCTAAAGGAGAAATGTGTTCAGTGAAGTTTTGTTCCATTTTACGACCGTTCTGGCCACCGTTGCTAAGTGAATCACCGCAGTTGAGAAGTTAGTAACCTGCTTGTTCAGTGACTCTGACTTCCCCATTGACTTTGCCTGTCAGACGGTCGCAAAAGGGGGGCACGTGACACACACACACACACACACACACACACACACACACACACACACCAGGACGCTGCAACCGTCATAAATACGAGTCGGTGGCCGAGTGCCTGAATTTGGATCCCGTGACGACGGGGATGCTGCAACGGTCATAACTGTGAAAAAGATCACAAGTTGCTTTTTCCAGTGCTGTTGTAACTTTCAATGGTCACTAAACGGACTGTTGTAAGTCGAGGACTACTTGTATTCCCAGCATCTGTACATCAGCCTGATAGGGAAATGTGGGTGCAAGTTTGGAAACGAGACGCTGCATTTCCCTTGTCCTGGTTGTGTGTTTCCTGAGCACATCTGGTGGGAGCTTTAGGTCTGATTCAGCAGAAGGTTGCGTCCCAGCTGTAAAAATAGGGTTCAAGTCAGGGTACAGCCAGTGTGCTGGAGGTCAACGATCCCAAGAGCCACACCTGGCATTTCCACTTGCAGGTGTTCCGAAAACCAGGCTGAGAAAGATACCAAGGGGAGGTCAGTGGCCTAAGAAGGCAACGTTGTCAATGGAAGAGTTGTAGCTCAGGGTTGGTCTTTAGTGCTCTATGAGCTTGGTGGTTTTCTCGCAGATATTTCATGACCCAACTAGGTAACATCATCAGAGCTAGAAGGAATGGGGTTTGCAGAGAGGAGGCAGGTGGAGGAGGACTGTGGGGTCCTTGGTTGTTGTTTTTTTTGCAGACATTTCATGACCCAACTAGGTAACATCATCAGTGTGTTGTGGCTCCGTTACCTGAGCCTGTGTTATCGGAGGGAGAAGGCTCCGAACATGAAGGAGAGGAGTTGGCCAGGCCTCCCTCTCCAGGACCCTCCTCTCTGGCAATGCCTCAGGTGTCTCCTGAAGGAGAAGAGATTGCCCAGGAGCCAGGTATCTCCTCACAGTCGGACAGTGATGGAGATAAGTCTTGGCTGGATCCACGCCAGCATCGGAGAGACAGGCGCGCGCAGCAGAAGAGGCGGCGTGCCAGAGATTAGGCTGAGTCATTGGACCACACCCCACAGGGGATAAAAGGGGGTGAGGTGGCCATTCAGACTTTGTGACGGACAAAACAAACTACTAGAGAGTCACATCGTATCTTGGAAACAATGTTATCTGCCTTGGATTTAATACGGACTGGACTTGACAATTCTGAGTAAAGTTCTTGGCAAGCAGCTACTGGGTTGCTGCCAAGCCTCTTATCGAAAGAATTTGTTGTCTGCCAGTTTTATTTAACCCCTGGCTATCTGTGTGCGTGTGTGAGACGGGGACAGAACACAGTGTTAGAATGGAGGGAGGGAGGAGGTGGGAGGAGGAGGACTGTGAGGTCCTTGGTGCTCTATGACCTTGGTGGTTTTCTTGCAGATGTTTCATGACCCAACTAGGTAAACACCATCAGTGCTAGAAGGGACTGGGTGTTTGGAATGGAGGGAAAAAAAGAGAAAGGGAGGAGGAGGACCGTAGAGTCTTTGGTGCTGTCAGAACTCTCAATCTTCTCCTCCAGCTCTTCCACTACCTTCCTATGCATTGGAGCGGATGATCTTCTAATGAGGAAGGAGGCCTCTGGTTAATGGGCTGCTTCTCAACCTATGCGGCGCTCGGCCGTCTTCCGTCAAAGTCACAGTGACGCCCAAAGTGACATTCCTGGGTGTTTTCCCAACAAGGCTTCCCTTCCCCTTATGGATAGCAGCCCATTCAGCCACCTTCTGTACGCCTTGAGGTCCTCGGCTTCCGCCTCTTGGTGTCAGGCTGCCTCTCGGCGGCCAGCATCTGGATTGCAGCAGGTCCTGCTTTCCAAGCTCCTCGATTCCAATACCGGAGATTTGAAACGAGGTTCAAAGTTGGCTTTGAGCACCACGGTTTGAAGCTGTCCTTGAGATCTTGGCTTTTAAGGACGCTCTCGTGGGTTTCTCAAAATGCTTGTTGGTTTATTTAAGAAAGTCGATACAGCCGCTCAACTCGCCCTCAGAGGCTCCGGGTGGCTTACAAAGATAAAAACCTACTATAAATAATAAATTTAGAGCCTTGGTAGTACAGTGGTTTAAGGCACCCTGTTATTAAGCTGCCTGCAGTTACCGCGAGTTCAATTCTCACCAGGCTCAAGGTCGACTCAGCCTTCCATCCTTTCTAAAGTGAATAAATTGAGGACCCAGTTGTGGGGGCAATAAGCTGACTTTGTATAAAATATACAAAAGGATGAAGGCTATTGCTGAGCACATTGTAAGCCGCCCTGAGTCTCCGGAGAAGGGCGGCATATAAATCAAATTAAATAAATAAATAAATAAATAAAAAGCGATAACGCCCTCACCATCCTGACGACAACAATTAATCAAACAAACAAACCATTTTGATGGCTCCATCCAACTCTGGGTTCCCCAGGCCCGTTCTCAAAACCAGGTCCTCAGGGCCTTGCAAAAGAGGCTCAAAATGGGAGCCAACCTTATTTCTGTGGGTACGATGTTGCATCTGGAGGGAGCCACGGCAGAGAAAGCCCTTCTTCTGAATCCCACTAGATCAGGGGTGTCAAACTCGATTTCATTGAGGGCCACATCAGGGTTGTGTTTGACCTCGGGGGGACGGGGAACGGGGATGGACGGAGTGGGCGTCGCCAGGGTGGGTATGGCCAGCTCGATGTCACTCATATCGTTGACGCCTGTGGTGGCCCCAGCGCTCTACCAACGAAAATGGGATCCCGAGCTCCGTTTTTGGCTGCGATGGCCTCCTGCAACCCTCTGCCAGTGAAAAAAGAGCTCAGAAGGACCTCCCGAGCTCCGTTTTCATTGGCAGAGGCACCATGGGGCAGTCTTCACTGTCTCCAGGGCAGTCCTGCGAGCCAGATCTAAGCACCCCGCATGCCGGCTCTGGCTCCCAGAGCTTGAATTTGATACCCCTGCACTAGATGCAGAGGTGGACATCACATAATGTAACGTCCGGTTTGCCTAGAACCGAAAATGTGAGTGTGCGCGCCTTCCACGCACGTGTGTGGCATCAAACGCACAGCGGTTATAAAGGACGGAATAGGACCAGGGCAGGTGGGTGGGCCCAGCCGCTGGTCGGAACTACCGGTTCAGTTGAACCGGTCCGAACCGGCAGCAGCCTACCTCTGACTAGGTCAGGGCTCTGCAACCTTAAACGCTCAAAGAGCCACTTGGACCCGTTTCCCACAGAAAAGAAAACTCCAGGAGCCACAAAAACCCTTCCCGGGCCTGACTATTTCTTGAGCGGCCACAAAACTAGCATATGTAGTTGAATTAAACGTTGTGTTTTCTTCTGAAAGTTTTCTTTTCTTGGATTTATTCATGGTTGGCCTACCGGGGGTTGAAAAGCTCAATAAATCGCGTGCCGGCGGGTGTCGCACATTGGCGGTTGTGATGCATATTTTGAGCAACGGGGAGCCGCAGCAGAGGGGTGAAAGAGCCACATGTGGCTCCAGAGCTGCAGGTTGCTGACCCCTGGACTAGATGGACTTCCTTAGGAGAGGGGACCCAGAGCCTTCCTTGCCTCCCTGCTCTAGTAGGTCAGGTAGATATAACTGGGAGAAGACAGGCCATAATTTGTGTGAACGTTTTCATTTTACACCTATTCAAAACTCGGAAACCCCCCCCCCACACACACACAAAAGCAGGCTTCACAAATAGTAAGCAGTTTTTCAGTCCCGAAAGTTGGTATGAGAGAGGTTTATTTATTTTATTTATTTATTTTATTAATCATATTTCTATGCCGCCCACTCTCTGAGGACTCTGGGCGGATTACAACAATCGACAGTATACTAAATAGCCTATTGCCCCCCCAACAATCTGGGTCCTCATTTTACCCACCTCGGAAGGATGGAAGGCTGAGTCAACCTTGAGCCGGTGAGATTTGATCCGCTGAACTAGCAGTCGGCTGAAGTAGCTGCAGTACTGCACATCTAACCACTGCGCCACCTCGGCTTCGAGGTGAAGATTGCAGATGTTAGGCAGACCATTTTTATTGGAACCCAAAACATTTCAGGCTGCTCTTTAATATAATTTTTTTTTGCGGTGCAACTGAATACAGATGTTGTTTGCAGTTCTGGCTGCCACACTTAAAGATGACTTCTGCAGAGCTGTAAAAATCCAGAAAACGAACCTTGTCCTGGATTGACCAGTGCCCGACCTCAATCCACGTGCAAATGCTTACTTTTTCTAGGCACATCCACTTCCCTCTTTCTGTGGTGGGTTCTCTCACTGTGGAAATCTAGTCCCTTGGGGGGAATGTTGTTATTGGTGCTAAGAGACTGTGTCCCAGGTCAGAGGAGACCCATTCCACCTGAGTCTCGTGACATCCCACTCTCTACTTGTCCCAAATGTGCTCCTCCTCCTCGTAGGGTCTGAAGAAGCCGAACATCGAAGAGATTCGTCACGCCAAGAATGCCGTCTTCAACCCTTCCATGTTTGGAAGCTCCCTGCAAGAAATCATGAACATGCAGAAGGAGAGATACCCGGATCGCCAGCTCCCGTGGGTGCAGACCAGGCTATCAGAAGAGGTGCTGGCACTCAACGGAGACCAGACCGAGGGCATCTTCAGGTAATTTGCACCTTGAAGGGCTGTCCTTTCTCCATCTGAGGAGCTTCTCAAGTTCAGTTGAGGGCTATGAAACGATGGAGACATTGCGGTTGGAAGACTTGAGCTGGGGTGTTGTTGGTAGGACATTCTTGAGCTCAGGGAGAAATCAGGATTATGTGATGCTTCTAAAGATTCTTGACTTATTGAAGATAGGGTGAAGGAGCTAGGAAAAAAACAGATTGGACAGATTGAGGAGCAGAAGTGCTGGGATACTGGGAAATCCCTAAGAGGGGATAGTGGAACAGAAGGAAAAAAGGCTATGAGAAACTGGAACAAGGAATTAGTATTGAAAAAAGAGGCAGAGGAAATGAAAAAGAGAGAGAAAGTTGGCCGAGCTTTGTTGGTAGTTTACAGGGGAGTTTTCTTAGGTGGACAACCAGGAATCATCAAACTGTGGGGTTGAAAAGGACCACAAGATCAACCTGGCTGGTGGCCACCCAGCTATTTCCTTAAAAACCTCCAGAGATGGAGAACTGCTACCCACTATTGGATGAATTTTACTATCTGAAAATTTTAGCTTATAGTTAGGCAACTTAGCTGCAACTTTCACCTATTATTACTGATTTCTGTGGCCACAGAAAATAGTTCTTGACCATCTCTGCAGAGTCCCAGATATAGTTTCTTCCCTCTGCCTTCTTTTCTCCAGAATGAACATCTCAACTTCTTCATCATGTCCTCTTGGACATGTCTTCAAGTCCTTATAAATCAGGGGTGTCCAACTCACGTCGTCACGGTGGTGTCACGTGACGTATCACAACTTTTTCCCCCTTCGCTAAACTGGGTGTGGGCGTGGCCAGCGTGTGACACATCTGGCCCGCGGGCCATGAATTTGACAGCCCTGTTATAAATCATCTTTGTCTGGACGTCTTCTAACTTGTCAATATGAGACAGGTCCTATTGTTGTCAGGTCCCCAAATCCTGGAAAGACAGGTATAGAGTTACTTCTGAGCAGTTTCCTTTATTGTTCCTCACCTGTAGACAGAATCTTGCCAGACTGAAGTAACTACTGGTATCATTCAATTATTCTGAGAACTTCTAGGGAGGCGCCCTCTTAACTCTCTTCCTCCCAACCGAACTATCCAAATTTTGCTGTCTCTTGGTCCTCTGGAATGCAGCCCCTCCCCTCTGGGAATCCAGACTGCATTCCACCACAGTTGTTGATGAAAAGACTCGGCAGCTTGAAACTGGTATGGAGACCTACAAACAGAGGGTTAACAACTGTGTGCAGGCACCATGTGATTCAGTGGTGGGTTTCTACCGGTTCGCCCTGGTTCGGGAGGCTCCGGCCACCCGCCCAGACATCATCATGGACACTCTGCGCATGCTCAAAAGCGCCACGCGCGAGCAAAGCAAGTGTAGCGAAGGTAAGTGAAACCCACTACTGATGTGATTGTTCACCCATTATTGAACAAGGAACAAGGAACATACTCCCCTAAGTTTGTTCCACTTTTCCTTCTTTTATTATTGCGGGGATCTTGCGACCTTGTGTGTTTTACCGCGTTTGCCTTCCTGTATAACACCGAGGAATACTGAAACTTATTTCTGTTCCTACATTCCTTTTTCTCTGTAGAGTTTACCCCCGCATCAACATTCCATCTTTTTAGAGATTTAACTCTCAGTGCAAAATCTCTTCCCCAAGGGGGACCAGCGAGAGCTTCCCTTGAAATACAGGTAGTCCTCGACTTATGGCCACAAGTGAGCCCAACATTTCTGTCGCGAAGTGGAACGTTCGTCAAGTTTTGCCTCATTTCGCGACCTTTCTTGCCATGGTTGTATAAGTGAATCACCGCAAGCGATAAGCTAGTCGTTAAGTGAATCTGGCTTCCCCCCGTCGACTTTGCTTGTCAGATGGTCGCAAATGGGGATCGCATGACCCCGGGACGCTGCAACCGTCATGAATACGAATCAGTTGCCAAACATCCGGATTTTGATCCCACAACCCTGGGGGGGGGTGTTGCAGCGGTCGTAAGTGTGAAAAATGGTCATAAGTCCCTTTTTCCCCCAGTGCCATTGTAACTTTGAACGGTCGGTAAATGAACTGTTGTAAATTGAGGACTACCTGTGTTAAAATGTTAGTGTCAGGTTTCGAGGTCGTCTCAAATAAATTGCATTTCAAACAAAGTCTTTGAAGGAAAACTCCTATTTATTAAGCACGACATTCTAAAATCCGACTCCATCGAAGCCAACACTGACTTCCAGACCCAAAACCCTCCCTTTCCGTTCCCCACTCCCCTGCACTCATTGGCCATCTTCCAAGTCATTCTACCCCTAATCTACTGCTCCAACTCAAAGGAATTTCCCCCCTCCCATCCCATCTCCTAGGGGATATTATCTCCAGGGAAAATAAGTAGGTGAAAAGTCAAACGTCCCTTTCCAGACGCCTCCCTTCTCCTTCTTATGTCAGCACTAGAGTAAATGCAGCTTGAAGTGCTGACAGTTAGCTTTGACTAGTATTCAGTGCAGTGAAGCTTACGTCTCTCTTGGCCTGAGAATGCAGGGTATGAAGACGACTGGCTGGGGTGTCTTCCTCGCCAGGAGAATAGCAATAGCAATAGCACTTAGACGTATATACCGCTTCACAGTGCTTTGCAGCCCTCTCTAAGCGGTTTACAGAGACAACCTCTTGCCCCCAACAATCTGGGTCCTCATTTTACCCACCTCGGAAGGACGGAAGGCTGAGTCAATCTTGAGCTGGTGAGAATCGAACTGCCCAATTGCAGGCAGCCGGCAGTCGGCAGAAGTAGCCTGCAGTACTGCACTCTAACCACTGCGCCACCGCGGCTCAAGACGTTAGACGTTGGCCCAACGTGTCTCCGTGTCTCTGAGGAATTCCTTTCTTCTCTTCTGCAGAGTTCCTGGGGACATCGATGAAGTCAACGCTCTCAAACTGCAGGTGGATCAGTGGAAAATCCCCACTGGCTTAGAAGACCCCCACGTTCCTGGTGAGAGTGACAGCTGTGGAAGGACATCTCTCCGCAGGACGGCTTGGTCTTTCTCCTCCAGCTGGATCTGCCCCACTTTTGTGGGCTTCATCCTGGACAGGAAGCCATTTCTGGGTTTTGTCTCGCTTGAATAAGGGGAGCATTTCCCCCCCTCTTTCGGCTTATAAACCGGAGGGCTAAAAGATATAAAAAGGCACATGGTCCTCTTATTTAATCCGTAGGTCAATTGAATATATACCCTGCAGCAGGGGTGAAATCTTCTTACCTTCCCAACCAGTTTTGGAAGTGCACATGCCCTCTGTGCACGGACCCTCTGCGCATGTTCAAATCCTTCTGCGCATGTGCAGAGGGTAAAAAATAGGTTACTTCCTGGTTAAAAGCAGAAAGTAACGACGACCGGGCGGGTGGGAGGAGCCTCGCGCCACCATCGCTACCGGTTCTCCGAACCGGGCTGAACCGGGAGCATTTCACCTCTGCCCTGCAGGTAATAACAGGTGGGAAATATTGGTTAATTTCTATTTTTATCTTCGTACAGGCAGATCTCGACCGACGACCCCGACTTAGCCCAAATTTTCCGTGAGATAGTTGTTCAGTGAGTTTTTGCCCCATTTTATGACCTTTCTCGCCACAGTTGTTAAGCGAGCCACTCCAGTTTATTAACTTAGAACCACGGTTCTTAAGTGAATCTCGCTGACCCCCATGGACTTTGCTTGTCAGGCGGTCGCAAAAGGGGACCACATGACCCCGGGACGTTGCAACCATCATAACTATGAGCCACTGAGTTTCCAAATGTCCCAACTGTCTGAATTTTGATGATGTGACCATGGGACGATGCAACGGTTCTAAGTGTGAAAAATGGTCATAAGTCACTTTTTTCAGTGCCGTTGTAACTTTAATGTAAAGAAACGTAATGGATGATGCAACACAAATAGCTGAGAGGGAGATGGTTTGCCGGGCAGTTGTTCTGGCAATTTTCGGTTCAAATTGTCACTTTCCCACTCCCACTACAGGTAGTCCTCGATCTACAACAGTTCATTTAGTGACTGTTTGAAGTTACAACAGCCGTGAAAAAAGTGACTTATGAGCCTTTTTCACACTTACAACGGTTGCAGCATCACCATTGTGGTCACGTGATCAAAATTTGGATGCTTGGCATTCATATTTATGACCGTCGCTGGGTCCCTGAGTCACACCTTTTGCGAACTTCTGACCAGCAAAGACAAACGGGGGTGCCAGATTCACTTAACAAACTCATAACCAACTTAACTGCAGGGATTCAACTTAACAGCTGTGGCAAGGAAGGTCATAAAATGGGGCAAAACTCGCTGTCTCGCTTAGCAATGGAAATTTTGGGTTCAATTGTGGTCGTAAGTCGAGGACTACCTGTACTGACTTAAGGGGTTCACCCAATACACAGATTCATGGTTATGATATAGTCGATTAAAGGCAGATGAACCAAATCCTTCATCTTTGACTATTTGTTGTGACCCAGGCCCACGTAGTTGATATTAAATGCAAAACAGTTCCAAAAAACAGGCAGGTTTTATTAAAACAGCTGAGAATTAACTCGTTTTCGGCGAATTCCAAATGAAATGAAAGCAAAGTTCTCAAAACACCAGTCTTCAGTTTATCTCTGACCTTGGGATAATTAGGCAAATTGCCAAAGGCTTTTCTTGGCAAAAGTTCAGAAGCAGAAGACGCCGATAAAAAATGAATACAGTGAAAAAGAAGCAAATCTCTCAACGTTGTTTTCTGACAAAGAGCCCAAGAGCCGTGTCTGGTCTTTTAAGCCTTATGGGAGGGGCCAATCATCTCTTGGCTTTACTCCTGAGTCGTCCTCTCTGCTTTATCTGCTCCTGCCTTCTGGCAGCTCTTCTCATACGTGCACTAGGAACAGGCTCTTCCTGTTCCTCTGCCTCTCTACAGTCAGCCTCTGGAGGCTCCGGAGTCTGCGCATTGCTCCCAGATGGCCCTGGCCCCATCTCTGCCTCCGATGCAGAGCCCTCCTCCGGGCCTTCCCCAGCCTCCGGGCCTGGCCCATGTTCTTCCTCAGCCTCATCGCTGTCCGACTCCGCTGCCAGCTACACAGGCTGCTGGCAAACCACAACACTATTTAGCTGCATTCTTAAGCCGTGCGCATGCGTGCAAGTGCGTGCGCGCTCACATTTTCGGTGCTGGGGCGAACCGGTTATTAATTCATGTGCCTCCCACCTCTGCCTTCAGGAGGAAAAAAAAGGAGATTTGACAAACTCAAGAGTTGTTTTCAGTGACGTCTGAAGCCAAGGAGTTCGTCTTTCCTCTTCTGGGGCCTTTCTGATTCCTCTCGTTTCTCCCTGCCAGCCTCCTTGCTGAAGCTCTGGTATCGCGAACTTGAGGAGCCTCTGATCCCACACGAGTTTTACGAAGAGTGCATCACCCACTACGAGAATCCTGAAGCTGCCATCGCCGTCGTCCACTCCCTGCCCAGGATCAACAAAATGGTGCTTTGCTACCTCATCCGTTTCCTCCAGGTAAGGTAGCTCCGGAGTCCAGTTTACGGATGGTGGGGTTTGTAGAGATTCTCGTTCATCCACGTCACGGTTGTCCCAAAGATCCTTTTTTTTCAAGAGGCAACTGGACTTCCTTTGTTTTTCCTTGAAGACGTTTCGCTTCTCATCCCAAAGAAGCTTCTTCGGCAGTTCCAAGAAGGTTCCACACCCATTTGCGCTATTTGGGTGACCCTGAGGGCACAGATAATCCGGTCAGGGTTCCAAGTAACACCCCCAACAGAATCAATAGATTTATTCGGGATGTCATATTGACACATCTGGGGAAAACCCTGAAGACCCCCATTAAAGATGGCTCCAGAGCTGACAAAATCTGCAAGTGGCCTCAATGTTTCTCAGAGAGAATGCGAAAGATGAGATGACCGCAAGGAATATACATCCTTCCATTCTCCACCATTCAATCAGAACTGAGGAAGCTTCTTGGATGAGAAGCGAAACCTCTTCAAGGAAAAACAAAGGAAGTCCAGTTGACTCTTGGGAAAAAAAGCACCCCTGGGACATGGACGGTGATGCTTATCCTACTGACCGTACCTGGGCTGAGAATGCACCTAAGCATGATCAAAAGCATGCCTTCTCCATCCCTAAGAGAAGGAGGATGGCCCAACTTTCTCTACCGACACAATTGCATTAGGCTGGGGCATGTGAGGTCCTCCAAGAAGGATGAAGGATGCCTTGAGAAGTTGAACTCCTAGAGTGGACATAGAACGTAGAATAATAGGAGCAGAAGGGTCGTTGGGGGGTCTTCCAAGTCCAACTCTCTGGCTGGAGATCCTATATCCGTGATGGCGAACCTATGGCATGCGTGCCACAGGTGGCACGTGGAGCCATATCTGTGGGCATGCAAGTGTTGCCCTAGCTCAGCTCCAGCACGCATCGGCCAGCTGAATTTCGGGCCTTCCGGGCCCACCGGAAGTCGGGAAATGGGCCGTTTCCAGCCTCCGGAGAGCCTCGGGAGGGGTGGGGGAGGCAGTTTTCACCCTCCCCAGGCTCCAAGAAAGCCTCCAAGAAAGCCTCAGGAGCCTGGGGAGGGCGAAAAATGGACTTACCGGGCCCACCGGTAACCTTTTTGCCATCGCGCCAAAAACGGGGGAGTGCGGGGGGTCGCGCGCATATGCGCAAGGGGGGTGGAGCGGGGGTCCATTGAATTATGGGTGTGGGCACATGTGCGCACAACCCCCCCACGCTCCTCCGCTTTTGGCACACGACGGCAAAAAGGTTAGCCATCACTGTCCTATATCATTCCGGACGAATGGCTGTTCAGTCTCTTCTTAAAAACTTGTGATGGAGAATCCACAACTTCTGAAAGCAAGCCATTCCACTGACTAATTGTTCTCAGGAGTTTTTTTCCTTAGTTCTAGATCTCTACACTCCCTGCTCCTCAGAATAGGAAGACCCAGAATACTTTTTCTCTCCTGCAATATGTGAGCATGCTTGTCATATACCTGGATTTTGGATGCATTCTGCAAGTTAGCCCATTTGGGGTACATTGGTTCGAAAAGTGTCTAGGACTATTAGCCACGGCCTCGTCACTGGACAATTCAATGTGGGATTAATTCCGTTTTTTTCCCCATCAAAACTGTCAACCCTAAACCTGACTGAGACCAGCTTTATGGCTTCAGGATTGCCACAAGAGAGGGAGGGGGAGAAAATAGTTAGCTGGGGTCTTGTAGTCAAAGCAAAAAGTTTTCCTGTGGGAACCAAGGACATTTCAACAGGTGGCAGGGAAGAGGAGGAGTAGAGTAACCGCGCAATTGACTGACACTTTCATTGGATAATGTGACTGATGCCTGGGGAGGGGTTAAAGGGAAACTTTCACTTTTTAATCAGGTGAAAACCGCAGGAACTTTCAGAGTCGGTTTTCACCAGTTGTGCCAATATGAAGTATCGAATAAACTGTTCTTTGAGGAAGCTACCTGCCTCAGAATTCTGCTTTCAATGGGTGCATTGCTTCAAACGCTGACATTAGCATTATAATAGCTGCTAGTCATCGGAATGATTTCCTTTGATATAAGAGATAAAATAATTTTGACGAAAACGTGGTTAACCAAAATAAGGGGAACTAAGTGAATCCCATAGCTAGAGGGTCACAGAAAGTTGTCCTGTAGTGAGTTCGCTGCGGTGAGTTGACCGTGGCAAATAGTCCCATTCTGGTTGAAAAACATTTGCCTCACGATGTGTTGTTTCATCCAATTAAAAGTTTACAGACATGAGAGTGTCTGGGAATTGCGCAGTAGGTGTCCAAATGTAGTCAGAGACGTTGATGCGAATGTGTAGTTTTATATAAATAAATACATTTTACAACTAGATAGTCAAACTAGATAGTCAGGCAAACAGGAGCATCATGAGGTAAATCTCAGAGCACAAAAGGGTGCACGGAAGAAAAAGGCGGGAAAAAAAGGAAATGCCCCCTCCACATGCATAGCAACCAATCACAGTGCAGAATGCCTCACGCAGGAGCCAACACTCTTCAACCAATCAACCACAACTGTGTGTTATGGCTCACTGCACAACCCCACAGCTCCAGCTACTAAATTTAAGTATCTTAACAGAAAGTTTGAGTAGTATACTAGATCATCTCTGACACATTGAGTCATCTTTTCAGAGATATTTTCTTACCAAATTCCTTGATGCCTGGATTGAGGAGTGGCAGGGCTTCTTAATGTCCTGCTTTCCCTCAAAAAGTTGGGATATTTATGTTCAGAAATGTAATTTGCCTTGAAAACAGCTCACACTGAACTGTTGACTGAACTGCGTAGCGCAGTCAAATATCAGCACAAATGCTTTATGACATTTTATATTATGTCATGAACTGTTCTGTGATCATGTTCATGACATAAACATGAACATGATCACAGATGATCATGTTGCCAAATTTCAATTCCACAGGAGTCATGGGTTCTGGATTTGGGATGCGTTCTATACATTAGCCCATTTGAGGTACCTTGGTTCAAAAATTATTCCCCTATGGTCTGCCGTTTTGTCCAATTAAACGTTACAAGAATGAGACTTTTAGTAGAGGTAGTTCTTGATTTACAACAGTTTGTTTAGTGACTGTTCGAGGTTGCAACGGCACTGAAAAAAGTGACTTATGACCCCTTTTCACACTTACGACCGTTGCACCTTCCCCATGGTCACATGATTTTACATTTGAATATTTGACAGATGGATCAGAGGTGGGTTTCAGCAGGTTCTGACCAGTTCTGGAGAACCGGTAGTGTAAATTTTGAGTAGTTTGGAGAACCGGTAAATACCACCTCTGACTGGCCCCGTTCCCATCTATTCTCTGCCTTCCGAGTCCCAGCTGATCAGGAGGAAATGGGTATTTTGCAGTAACCTTCCCCTGGAGTGGGGAGGGAATGGAGATTTTATAGTATCCTTCCCCTGGAGTGGGGTGGGAATGGAGGTTTTACAGTATCCTTCCCCTGCCACGCCCATCAAGCCACGCCCACCAAGCCATGCCATGCCCACCAAGTCACACCCACAGAACCGGTAGTAAAAAAAATTGAAACCCACCACTGAGCTGATCATATTTAGAATAGAATAACAAGAATTGGAAGGGCCCTTGGAGGTCTTCTAGTCCAACCCCCTGCATAGGCAGGAAATCCTACACCACTTCAGACAAATGGTTATCCAGTCCAATTGAGGATGGATGAAGTGTCCTGAGGTCACGTGATCACCTTTTGTGACCTTCTGACAAGTAAAGTCAACGGGGAAGCCAGACTCAGTTAACAACCGTGTAACTAATTTAACAACTGCAGAGATTCACTTAACAAATGTGTCAAAAAAGGTCGTAAAACCCATAAACGAATTTCTCACTTAACAACATAAATTTTGGGCTCCATTGTGGTCGTAGGTTGAAGACCACCTGTCGTGTATAGATTTCTCTCAGCTACGGGTTGTGACCCACAGAGTAACACCTCCTCCCTTCTTCTCACTTCTCACAGGTGTTCGTGCAGCCAGGTAATGTGGCCATCACCAAGATGGACGTCAACAACCTTGCCATGGTGATGGCCCCCAACTGTCTGCGCTGCCAGTCGGACGACCCAAGGATTATTTTTGAAAACACCCGCAAGGAAATGTCCTTCATCCGGGTGCTCATCCAGCACCTGGACACAGGCTTCATGGAGGGAGTGCTATAGCCCCTGTGCCAACAGGACCGGACCGCAGTTGGACAACCATCACCTGGATCTTCTCCCGTATCCCGAAGTTAGTCAGTGAGAACCATTTTTTTGATGCAGCAGGAGATGCCAACCTTGTGAAGCACCCGAAGAGAAAGCTGCGGGCCACTGACCTTGCCATCTTGGCTATGCCAACTTGGGCATCTGAAGTTGCCCAGGAACCCCTTGGGGCCTGTGCGATGGACAAAATATGGCTGCCTCTTAGCGGTCCCCTGACCAGGACTTCATCAGGAGTGTCTACATAAATGGACAACCCAACACCATTCGGGAGAACTCTGAACCAAGCTAGAAAAGCCAAGAGGCCTGTCTACCCCCCCAAAATTAAGTCTGTCCTGTGGAAATGGGGGCGCAGTACCTGGTTCGGGCAGCTGAGGGAACTTTTGAATGGGTCAATAGGGGTGGTTGGGGGGTCGAATGTCCAAGATGGTAGCTGAATCCTTTTCAGACGAGTCGGAGGAATGGGAGGTAACAAAGGTGATAGGACGCAGATCACAAAGACTGGCGTTGCGCGGAAAGTGAACTGGCCTCCCAGGAAGTCAGTTAGTCTGATTGCTTCTGTGGAAGGGGAGGGGGTGCCATCAGATTGACCATTGAGAACTCTAAGGTGTGGGGGGGGTGGCACCTCTGGAAGCCACGGACTATCTGTTGGCGAGGCTCAAACACCGGCAGGCTTTTAAGATTTGGGGAAGACCCCTCCCCCTTCCTTTTTCCTTCCTTGTTGTAGCACAGTCACTGCCAAAGGGGGCCAAGCCATGCAGCCCCCCCCCACCGCATCTCAACATCTCAGTGCCCCACAAAAGGCCCTTGAAACAGGAGGGGAATAACGAGAAGGGAGTTTCGTTCTGGTCACTCGTTTTTCTTGTCGGGCAGAATTTTATACACTGTGATACAGAACCGGAGCACTTTCTTGACTTCTCCTTAAGTGAAAGGCAGAAAGGTTGATGGTCGCAGCTCCCCAGTTGAGTGGTGGTGACGACAAGAAGTGGGGTGCCCCGATTCTGGAGTTGTCCATTCTCCCCCAACCTCATCTCAACATCCCTTCCTGCACTCAGTGCTTTGGTATTAGAGAAGGTGGGTCCTGCTCGGCTTCCAGGAAGACCCTGTCCACAACCAAATCCTTACGGCACCTTAAATGATAGACTTTGGCTGGATCTGGGGCATTCTCCACCAGGTTTCCAGACATTTTTTTTTCTCCCCGAAGGAAGGAGCTAAGTTCTCTTCCATAGGCCAGAAATGCGAGAAGGCCAGCAGTAGTGGTGAGAATAAACATTCCCATAAAGTGTCCTCTGTCCCAAATGCTTATACTTGGGTATCTTGCACATCCTTATGGGGCAAAAAAAAAAGGTATTTAGAGATAGGGGTTATGGGGTGGAAAGCAACAGCTAAAAATGCTTTGCATTGGCAACATTTGAGCATGTTTAACATGCTCTATGAACACGGGAGGTTGTTGCTCCCTGCCCAACCTTCTTCAAAAGGAGTGACCCTCAGTCTTTCACGTTTATTTCTCAACTTCCACTGTTGAAATCTGATTTTGTTTTTTTCCAAGAAACAAAGCCATCAGTTTCCCCAAGATGAAAGAAAATCAGAAAGTGCAACGAGTTGAACTTTACTTCTCCATCCATCCATCCATCCATCCCATCACAACGTATGGGAGATGTCTCTGTATCTGTAGGAACATGGCTTCTATCCTGGAGCGGACAATCTTTATCTTGTGTTTGTGCATCTATGAGCAGAGAACCAGAAAGAGATAGAGATCATCTAAGAGAAACTAGGTGGTCCTTGGAAGGGACAGTTGGTGGAGAACATCTTGGGCTCTAACCATGATTCTGGCCTACAGGGGTAGAGAGTTCTGACACAGCAGGGATCCTGTCCCACCACTTGTCTCTTGCTATCCTGCCTTCCTGCTTTCTACAGTCTATCAGACCCATATCAGCCCTAAGGCCCTCTCTCTCCACTTGACCAAAGGCCAGGATGGTGGCCTTGAAGGTCTGTAGAGTTGGATGAGCTGATGTAGTGAGGGGCCTCCCACCAAGGCAAGTCCGCTTCTGGGATATTGTCGGCCGTGGTGGGGCTACCTCAACTCTGCCATGCTACATGTGTCTCACGTGCTGTGGTTTCTAGCATCTTTCAGTGCTTTTATTAGAGAAGGATGCAAGAATGCTCCTAGGGGTTGTTGGCTGCTCCTGGCCAACTGGAGGAGAGAGTCCCATTCACCCCTTGGGTGCTAAACAGTTCTTGGAGGAGCTTGTGGTTTTCAGAGAAAGTGCCTTTTATTCCAAAAGACCAGAGCCTCTCCTTCTTAAAAAGGAACAGCTCTCCAACTCTCTTACCTTGAGATTATTCCAGCTGCAGAGCGTTTACTCCTAAATCGCATCCTGTTGCAGGATGAAGCATAGAGGAGCTACCTAGCTGGGCAACTCAAGGTCACCTGCCATCTTGTTTGTCCTTTGGGTTAGTTCTCAGCTCCCTTAATCACCCAGCAGACACGGGAGGTGGAGAACAACGCATGTGGCAGAAGTCATGGAAGTGTTGACTTTCCCAATTGGGACCAGTCCAGAAAAAGGTCGAGCTTATAGGCTGGAATGCAAGATTTGGCACCGGGGCAGCCTTTGCGATCAATTTGGGGGGGGGGGGCTCCTCCACCCCAATAAAAACTGGGAGTCCAGATGGATCTCCAAATGGGAAAACCAGGGCCACCAGTCTTCCAGCCTGGATCGTAACTCCTTCCATTCCGGAAGCCCTTTCCCCGGCCTAGCAGCTCAGGTTCACCGCTGATCTTTTCGGCTGGGGGAATCCCTGCTTTGTTTGCACTTGGGGTCGGTGAGAAACAGCGCAGGAAAGAGAGAAGGACCAAAGACTCCGAGCCCGGTTTGCAAAGCCCTTGGCCCCTCTTTTTCCGACGGTCATCGATTTCGCACGATCGGCTTAGAAAGTCTCTGGCCAAGATGCCTTTTTTTTTTTTGTAAATAGGAAGGAAACCTGCCTCTTTTTACAGCTGTTTGAGAATCTGAGTGGGATTTTTTTTGGGTGGTTCGGTCAGTCAAGAAAGAATGATGGTCAGGGCCTAGCTATGATTTTTGGGGAATTTGCAGGGTAGACACAGGTCAATCTGATGCAGATGACTGGAGAATAACCTCGTCTTAACAGCAGGCACACAATTTCTGTCCTTCTTGAGAGAATTTATTATATAGAGAAGTGTTTCTCAACCTTGTCTGCTTTAAGATGAGTGGACTTCAACTCCCAGAATTCCCCAGCCTGGGGAATTCTGGGAATTGAAGTCCACCCATCTTAAAGTGGCTGTCAAGGTTGGGAAACACTGATAATAGAGATTTTTTTCCCCCCTCCAATCTGGTATCCACCTCCAGCAGCATTAGGACTGCAATTCCCAGCACCCTGGCTGGGGAGGATGGGAATTGCAGTCTCAACCCAGCTGAATTGGGGTGGGGGGGAGAGATATGGGTTTAGTCACGGGAATGCGGTTACAAAGCTGTCACGGGAATTACCGACGCGCTCCGTTGACTAACCACAGAACGGAGTTCCGAGTTGTAAATATCATTCATGCCAACTTTTATTTTTTCTTCGTGCGTGAGAAGAATGCTCTTTTTTTGTTATTTATTCGGTTGTTGCTTTCCAGCGTTTTGCCTCCCCTCTCCCCCCCACCTTTCAGAAATATATTTATTCCTGCTCTTGGGAATGAAGCTTTCCGATGACGATTAAAGGGTTACACGCAGAGTCTTGTCTCCTAAGATGTCTGGCCTTCTTTCCGAGAAATAATGCATTGGTGGGCTACCACGGTTGGTGAGATTTTGATGTTTAGATGGTTGAATGGCCCACAACACGCTCTCCATGAGTCATGGTGGCGCAGTGGTTAGAGTGCAGTACTGCAGGCTACTTCTGCTGACTGCCAGCTGACTGCAATTTGGCAGTTCGAATCTCACCAGGTTCAAGGTTGACTCAGCTTTCCGTCCTTCCGAGGTTGGTAAAATGAGGACCCAGATTGTTGGGGGCAATAATGCTGACTCTAAACCACTTAGAGAGGGCTGTAAAGCACTGTGAAGCGGTATTTAAGTCTAAGTCCTATTGCTATTGCTATTTCCAGCTCATTAACAGAATAACAAGAGTTGGAAGGGATCTTGGAGGTCTTGGAAGCAAAAGCATCGATTGGTCTACTTGAAAAAACAGTGTAGCGGATGCCCACAAGAGTGCTGGACCCATTCTTAGAAATAGGCCAATCAACAGCAGACAGGTGCAGAGCAATTCTGGAACCCCTCAGCTAGCAACATGAGACAACATCATGTTCTCAACACCTACGTCCAATTGTTTTGTCTGGTCCCTCCCCACCCTATGTTAAAGCAAGGGGTTGGTGATGGGTCTTCCCGTCATTATGTGATGCTAGGAAAATGGCTAAGGAAGTCCACCAAGCCCTTTATGTCCCGTACCCTGGATTAAGAGACTGAGCATATCTCAACCTTAGCAACTTGAAAATGTGTGGACTTCCACTCCCAGAATTTTGGCTGGGGAGTTCCAGGAGTTGAAGTCCACGCATATTCAAGCAATGTTATATATGCAGCACAAAGCAGTGAGACATTTGCAAATCTGTGAATTGGAGAAACAAAACAACCACTTCCTAAACCCATGGCACAACGTAGAAGAACAAACCCATCAGATTCAGCAGTCTGCCTGCGTTTGAAAGACAAAGGTCACTCTTTTCAAGACAGCAAAGTCCACAATCTGGACAGAGAAGGCCGCTGGTTTGAAAGAGGGCTCAAGGAGGCCATCGATGTCAAAATCGAACAGCCTTCTCTCAACAGAGGGGGAGGGATACGACATCACCTATACAACACAGTCCTTTCAGCAGTTCCAAGAAGGTTCACACCCATTTGCACTATCTAAGTGATAGTGGTATCTAGGTGATAGGAAGCAGTAATGCTTCCAAACCAGACAGTAATGCCCTACGACAGGATGCTCTCGATTGTCCCTATGCTGGAAGTGGTAAGGATAGGGAAAGGAAGAGGTACTTTTCTCATGTGGGGTAGAAAATCCAGGCACTCCTGTGCCTTCTTCACCAGGGTCTTGCTGTTGAGAGACCAAGCCGGCCTACTCATTAGCTGCACACCCAGAAACGTGATGATGCTAAGCACCTCCACAGGTGAATCATTAATGCATAGAGGGGCGTAGCTGTGCCTGCCTTTATTGAAATCTTGAGAAAATTAATAGCCCATCCCTGTTCTATCAGGTCAACTTCTCATACGGCAGACTTGTGGGAATCGAGGCTCAATCTGTTCATCCCCCTCAAATCTACCAATAGCAACGTCATCCCAGCCTTTTCCTTCTACGACCGAGACAAGGGTGCGATTCCTGCTTCGTAACTTCGGTGGGAATAACCACAAAACACTGCGTAGCCAGGAATAAAAGAGCCCCCCCTAGTCTTGGTGTTGGAGGTGGCGTGGTCATATGCGCGCGCACACACATATACACACCCCACATGGTGACCTATGGAGATTCTCAAATCATCCAGATCATGATTGTCCCAAAGGTGCTTTTCAAAAGGCAACTGGACTTTTCCTTGAAGACATTTCACTTCTCAATCAGAATAAAGCTGGAAGGGACCTTGGAAGTCTTCTAGTCCAACCAGGGGTGAAATGCTACTGTTTCAGACCAGTTCGCCCGAACTGGTAGTAAAGAAATGCTACCGATTCAGACGAACTGGTATTTCCGATGATCAGCTGTGCCACGCGATTTATATTTGCTAGAAAGCAGGAAATCCTGCTTTCTAGCAAATCTACATCACGCGGCACAGCTGTTTCCCTCCCCCTCGCTGTTCTACTTACCTTAGAAAAGGCTTCTTAAGCCTCCTTTTTCAGCGCTGCGCAGTAACGCATGTGGTGCGCATGTATGCGAAGCACACATTTGGTGCGTACCACGCATGCACCCGCGCAGTGAACCAGTAGCAGGCTTCGGAGCATTTCTCCCCTGAGTCCAAGCAGGAGACCCTATACAAGTGACTGTCCAGTCTTTTCTTAAAAACCTCCAGTGATGAAGTACCCACAACTTCTGGAGGCAAGTAGTTCCACAGGTTAATTGTTCTCACTGTTAGGAAGTTTCCCCAGATTGCTTCACTCCTTGATTAGTTTCCATCATTTCTTGTCCTGTTTTTAAGTGCTTTGGAGAACAGGTTGACCCTCTCTTCTTTGTGTAACAGCCCTTCGAAACCTGGAATACTAATATCATGCCCCCCCACCTCCTCCTTTTCTCTACGCTAGAGATAACCCATTTCGTATGTTTTAGTCTCCGGTCCTTTAATCACCTTAGTTGCTCTTCTCTGCACTTTTTCCAAAATCTCAAAACATCTTTTTTTTTTTTAATGTAGTGGATGCAGGATTCCAGGTGTGGCCTTACTAAGGTAAATTGAAGAAGAACTGAAGAAGCTCCTTGGATGAGAAGCAAAACGTCTTCAAGGAAAAAAAAACCCCAAGAAAGTCCAGTTGTTCTTTTGAAAAGCACTTTTGGGGTGATCACCATTTTGTGTGTTCGGCCGTCCACTCACTTTTAGGATGATATGCAGCATCTCGGTCTTGTGAATGTGATTTTTGACATTTTTGTGCCAGTTTCCGGTGTTTGCTTTCAATTTATGGCAAAAAACTCCGGCCATTGGGTAAAATGGATTTACTTAATGATGGCTGAATTTGTTTCATGCTTCCAAACAACGTGGTAAAATCAGGTCCAGTCACACGTGGTGAGCTGCTTAATGACCGCAATGATTTATGACAGTAGTTCCGGCCTCAATTACAGTTATAAGTCGAGTGTTATTGGCCATACGCAGCGGGTGGAAAAAAAAAAACACGGTTCAGTTTTTCCCCCTTTTTTAATTGATGTTTGTGAAGAATTTTCCCACAGAATAAAAGCCAAATCGAAAGGAAAACAGGAAAGGGGGGGGGGAAAAGAGCCAGCGATTAAAAAGAAAGGGGAAAAAAACCCCTCCAATTTAAGAGACATAGGACTGATTTCTGGCCTTTACTATATTCATAAATGAAGATGAGATGTTGGGAGATTTCTCCTCAGATATCACCCTGAAATGATTGAAATAATCGCCGTTACTAAAAGAGTTTGGGATGAAAATTCACAGATGAAGCTTCCTTCGGCATCTCTGAGAAACTAAATTCTCAGCTTTCCTTGCAATCAAGACCAAAAGTCAAAATAAGGCTGGCTGCTATACTGACTCTAATGTATTCTTCTGACTCCTTTACAAATGATAATTACGATCTTATTGTTGGAACCTTTTTTTTTTTATTTTTTAAAAGCATTTTTTACTACCTATTCGCCCAAACCGGTAGGTAAAAAATGCTTTAAAGAAGTTTTTTTTAAAAAGTTGGCCCCGCCCACCCATTCACATGACACGCCCCACCAAGCCACGCCCACAGAACCGGTAGCAACAAATTTTACATTTCACCACTGCCCCAGGGTCACCTGAGTTGTGCTCCTGGTTCCTGTAGTCTGCAATTTTTCCTCTGGAAATCAATTCCTACTCCCACACCATTCCAAGGATCTTCATCCTAAATTGTATAGCTAAAAGTTTGTAGGGATTTTATTTATTGATTTATTGGTTCGATTTATATGCCGCCCTTCTCCGGAGACCCGGGGCAGTTTACAATGCGTTAAGCAATAGCCTTCATACTTTTGTATATACCTGCTTAGTAGGGCTTTCGGCTCCTCCCAAGCGGTGTTCTTTTTTATACAAAGTCAGTTTATTGCCCCCACAATCCGGGTCCTCATTTTACCTACCTCGAAAGGATGGAAGGCTGAGTCAACCTTGAGCCTGGTGAGATTCAAACTTGCAGTAATTGCAGGCAGCTGGCAGGTAAGTGCTACTTAACAGCACTTTAGTCCGCTGCACCACCAAGGCTCTTTTCCAGAGGGAAGAAAAATTGCAGACTACAGGAACTATTTGCACCACTCATGTGACCCCGAGGACAGAGATAAACCTCCAAGTGGCCTCAACGACCCTCTAAAAGGATGTAAATGACCAGGTGTCTGCAAGGAGTATCAATCCTTCCATTCCCCACCATCCAATCAGAGCTGAAGAAGCTTCTTGGAGAAGAAGCGAAACGTCTTCAAAAGAAAAAACAAGAAAGTCCAGCGGCCTCTTGAAAAAAATAAATCACCTTTGGGATTTCCAAGACCTTTAAACTTGGCAGTCTGTCTAGCTTTCCATTGAAAGAGAAGGCATGTTGCAATCACCCCTTTAATGAGAAATGGATTATATACTGTAAAAACGATGCCTGGCACAAACCAGGAAAATATGAGCTGAAACTGGTTGAATCAGTCTTTGGGCTGAACAATAGCAGCCCAAAACTTCACATGCCGTTTATTCTTTCCTTCACAACTTCATTTAGCTGAATTCCTCTCGTTTTCCCAAAGTTACATTGCAATATATGTGCAGGGGGGAAAAAAATAGCAAAGGAGGAGGAAGATAAATTCCTTGGGTGTCCAATCCCACTTGGCCAATAAAGAATTCTATTCTATTCTATAACCATCAAGAGCTGTAGAGGTAGCCCTTGACTTACAACCACTTGCTTAGTAACGGCAGCCTTTCCGTTCTTACCTGGTTGGGGAAGCCACAAAAACAGAAAGCAGAATAACAAAAGAGTTGGAAGGGACCTCAGAGGTCTTCTAGTCCAACCCTCTGCTCAGACAAGAAACCGTTAGCATTTCAGACAAGTGCTGTCTAATCTCTTCTTAAAAGCCTCCAATGTTGGAGCATCCACAACTTCTGGAGGGAAGTTGTTCCTCTGGTTAATTGTTTTTACTGTCAGGAAATTTCTCCTTAGTTCTAGGTTGCTTCTCTCCTTGATTAGTCTCCACCCATTGCTTCTTGTCCTGCCTTCAGGTGCTTTGGAGAATAGCTTGACTCCCTCTTCTTTGGGGCAGCCCCTCAAATATTGGAAGACTGCTATCATATCACTCCTAGTCCTTCTTTTCATCAAACTAGATATACCCATGAGCCATGACCGTGGCAGATGGATTTAGGAGTCTTTCTGTTACAGCCTTATCACTGCTTGGCCAAAGAACCTGGTTTTTTTTGACTCTCTAGTGAAAATGGCCTGAGGGGTAGACACAGGGCTCCCACCATTGCTGACCATCACAATCACTCGTGTTTTGAAGCTTCAGGGCAGTCACCCTGACCACCAGCTTCCAAGTAGATGAGGACACTCTAGCACCAGAGCGAGCCTTGGTGTCCCCAGTCTCAAAATGCGTCCAGGTGTATTGTCCCACATCCCGTCTTCCAACCACCATCCTGTCCAGCATGTTAGGCCAGTTAGATACTTGCAGATCCGGTGATTGATTTCCTGCAACCATTGGACCATCCCAAGGGGAGCTTCTAAGTGACCCCATTAGAAAGCAGTCGGTGCCAAGTTGGGAAGAAAATCCATGGCCAGCGGCTCTTATCAGGCTCGAGAACGGAATCTTCCCACCATCTGTCCTGCAGGGACTTTCTTCTGTAGACCATCAACAGAAACGGGATGGATTCTGGGTGCTCCATCACTGAAGGTTTAAAGAAGAGATTGAACAACCATTTGTCCATGTTATCGGACTATGATGGCGAACCTTTTCAAGACGGAGTGCCCAAAGGGCGCGAACCTGAACCCCCAAAATGCAACGTGTGTGTGGACCCCGTGCATGTGTCCCGCCCCCTCACAACCCCGTGCAACGGTCCACTCCCATGCATGTGCGCACTCCCCTGCATATGCGGCCTCCCTGCAAGCAGCCAACCCTCACACATGCGACCAGATGACCAGCTGGCTGGTGGGAGGCACGTTGGTATGCGCAGCGGAGCTTAACTGGGGCGACGGCTTGCGTGTCCACAGAGAAGGTGTTGCGTGCCACCTGTGGCACGCGTGCCATAGGTTCGCCATCATGGTTATAGAATCTCCTGCTTGAGCAAGGGGTTGGACTAGAAGACCTCCAAGGTCCCTTCCAGCTGTTATTCTGGTTTGTCAACATCTGGTTGGAGGAAGGTTACAAACAAGCCGCATATGTAATCAACGAAGTAGGGTTTAACATGAATATGAAACCTTCTAGAATCTAGAGTGTTGGAAATGCTCAACCTAAATGACCCTGAAAAAGAGACAATATAATTTATTCCCCTCAATCCTCGATAAAAGATTGATCGTTAAGAGAAGTGGCAACATCTACTGAGAATGTTGTCCTTAATGTTTCGATCTTCCCAATTCTATCCTTCTCCTAGGATGGTCCTTCACATATCGTCTTAAGCCCGACATGGAAAGCTTGGTGTTTGTGCCCAACTCTCACCTCCACTCGTGAAATCCTCTCCTGTTGAGCAACGGTTGGCCAACTATACCAAGCCAACTGTTTTCTTGCAAGTCTCCTCTTTCAGATGCAGCTGGGCGAGTCTTTTCCTCCTACAGGTGTCTATGGAGATTCTCCATCATCCAAGTCATGGTTGTCCCAAAGGTGCTTTTTCAAGAGGCAACTGGACTTTCTGGTTTTTTTTTAAGACATTTCGCTTCTCATCTGAGAAGCTTCTTCAGTTTTGACTGCATGGCGGGGAATGGAAGGATTGATACTCCTTGCAGACAGCTGGTCATTTGCATCCTTTTAGTGAGTTGTTGAGGCCTCTTGGAGGTTTACCTGTGTCCTCAGGGTCACCTGATTTGAAAGAGGGGTCCAAGAGGCCATCTATGTCCATACTGAACAGCCCTCCCTCAACAGAGGGGGAGGGATACAACACCACCTATCTACAGTCTACAACACAGTCCTTTCAACTGTTCCAAAAAGGCCACACCCATTTGCACCACTCAGGTGACCCCAAGGACACAGGTAAACCTCCAAGTGGCCTCAACGACTCTCTAAAAGGATGCAAAGGACCAGCTGTCTGCAAGGAGTATCAATCCTTCTATTCCCCACCATTCAGTCAGAGCTGAAGATGATTGATTGATTATTTATTTATTCATTCATTCAATTTATATGCCGCCCCTCTCCGAAGACCCAGGGCGGCTCACAATACACTCAAAAAAATCACTATAAAAACACTTAAAAATTAAAAACATTAAAACCCATTCACACCATTCATGGCCGGATCTCGTCAGATCGCAAGAGCGAGATCAACGCCCCCAGGCCTGCCGGAAGAGCCAAGTCTTCATAGCTTTTCGGAAGGCCAACAGGGTGGGGATGGTCCGGACCTCAGGAGGTAACTGGTTCCAGAGAGCCGGGGCAGCCACAGAGAAGGCCCTCCCCTGCGGGCCCGCCAGCCGGCATTGTTTAGCTGACGGGACCCGGAGGAGATCAACTCTGTGGGATCTTACCGGTCGCTGGGAGCTTCTTGGATGAGAAGTGAAATGTCTTCAAAGAAAATTCAGAAAGTCCAATTGCTTCCTGAAAGAGCACCTTTGGGTTCCTCCTACAGATATTCTCCCAAAGCCCTTTTAGCATCTGTCTCCCTTCCACCCCAAGAGCTGCGCCCCTCCCCCTTTTTCCGATGATGGGCTGAGGATAGCTGCACTGTTCTTCCCAAGGACAGGCCCACCCCACCCCCACCCCGGCAAGCTGGGCCTTGGTGAATCCCAGCCATTCTTCCACAAGGATCGGTTCAAGCCGTTGCAGAGGACCTTCCCCAAATTCTTCTGGTCCACTGATACCAGCAAGATTTGAAGTCCTCCTTCGAGGCTCGGTTTCAATGTCCATCCATCCTAACTTCCAACAATCCAGTCTGATACTTCCAGAAAAATATTCCCCAACAGGGCAAGATGCGCACAACTGGGTCTCCAATGTCTGGTTGTGTTGTGGCTCCGTTACCTGAGCCTGTGTCAGTGGCAGGAGAGGACTCCGAGAGTGAAGGAGAGGAGTTGGCAAGGCCTCCCTCTCCAGGACCCTCCTCTCTGGCAATGCCTTCGGTGTCCGCCAAAGGGCAAGAGATAGGGCCGGGGCCAAGCACGTCCACGCAGGCACAGATGGACAGTGATGAGGGAAATGAGTCTTGGCTGGATCCACGCCAGCGTCACAGAGATAAGCGTGCGCAACAGAAGGCGTGCCTGAGATTAGGCTGAGTCACTGGACCACACCCCACAGGGTATAAAAGGGAGCGTGGTGGCCAGTCAAACCTTGTGACGAACAAAGCTGAAAGCTTCCACGCCATTCTGCATTGCTGGACTTTTGCTATAAACTGGATTATCTCTGGACTTGATTAACTCCGTAATTATTGAGCTGCTTTCCTTTGATGTATCAGAAGTGGGGAGAAGTTATCTCTCCTCTTTGTAAATAATAAACTCTTGGCAGGCAGCCACTAGGTTGTTGCCAAGTTCCGTTATCTTAAGGAAAAGGATTTTGCCGGCTGGTTTGGTCTTTAACTCTTGAACGTCTGTTGGTGTGTGTGCGTGTGGTTGGGGACAGAACAGGTTTTAAAGAGGCAGACATCCCATAATGACAGAGCTTCGTCTTAAGTCATCAGGAAGTTTAGTGGTGCAGAATTAATTTTTCTCCCAAGGCACATTTCACCCCACCCCACCCCACCCCGCCCATCCCCAGAAGCAAGGTGATACAACTCTGGTCCACCTTCCCAAAATGAGTCTCGTTTGAAGAGGTCCAAAAACATCTGTGTGACGGACACCCATCGCCTCTTCTCCAGGTCCAGGGGGATGATGGATCTGGGCAGGCTCAGTGGGCCGGTTTGTTATCCCCCACGGTGAAGGGGAGGGTCACGGAGCTGCAGCTTTTGCTGCGTTTGCTCTTCCGTCCCCAAGCGAGGAGACCCCCGGAAGCCTTGCTCGGCAGGGGGGTCTTGCGGCTGTTCTCTTTGTTGCTTTTCAGCGCAGCTCCTGCTCCGGAGGTCGCGGCTGTCGGCTTCTTGTCTGCTTTCTGGAGAAAAAAAAGGAAGGGCCAGATGCTCAGGAATAGTGTCAACCCTGAAGGCATTATGAAATAAAGAGAATAATAGATATCAAATTGTACGAGGGGAGATTGCGATACCTAGTACAACGGAAGGAGTAGCCTAAGGGTCAGCAACCCATGGCTCTGGAGCCGCATGTGGCTCTTTCATCCCTTTGCTGAGGCTCTCTGTTGCTGGTCGGCTCCACAATTGATAGGGCTTTCGGTTAGGACAGGTAGAGGAAAAAGGACGCTGTGCTAGGAGTGGGGGAACCGGACTTCCGGTCGGCTCCAGAATTGAGCGGGGGGCTTCCGGTTATGACCTTTGTGGCTCTTTGAGTGTTTAAGGTTGCTGACCCCTGGGGTAGCCACTCTCTGAAGCTACATGGGTAAAGAGCTGGGATGTAAAGGTACACAGGTTGGTTAAACAGTTCCATGAGAAATATCCTCAAAAACCAAAGGGACGTCAGGGGGTGAGGAAGAGGTGGTTAATGTAAACACTGATGAACCTCTATGTAGTTTCTTTTCTTTTTTTTCAGGAGCTCCTCGTCAGTTAAGGGGGCCCGACTGTCAACTCTGAAGCAAACCTGGCTGAGGTTCAGCTTGGAGGCTTCAGGGTTGCCACAAGGAAGAAGAAGGAGGGACAGGGAGTGAGGGAAATAGACTGCGGCTTTATCGTCAAAAGAAAACGTTTTTCTGTGGGAACCAAGGACATTCCAACAGGCGGCTGGGGTGAGGAGGAGCGGAGTAACCAAGCAACCGGCTCTATTGGGCAATGTGACTGATGACTTGGGGGAAAGGGGGAATTTTCACTTTTTAATCGGGTGAAAGCCGCGGGAACTCTCAGAGTCGGTTTTCACCAGCTGTGCCAATATGAAGTATCCAATAAATTGTTCTTTGAGGAATCTACCTGCCACGGGATTCTGCTTTCAATGGGTGCATTACTTGGAACGCTCACAAATAGGTTATATCGGTAGTCCTCGACTTACGCCCACCATGGAACCCCAAATTGATGTGGCTAATGATGTGAGACATTTGTTAAGTGAGTTTTGTCCTCATTTTACAACCTTCTTTACCGCCGTTTAGTTAATCACTGCAGCGGTTAAATTAGCGACCAGGTTGTTAAGCGAAACTGGCTTTTCCATGGACTTCGCTTATCAGGAGGTCACAAAAGGGGATCATGTGATCCGGGGACACTGCGACCGTCATAACTACGAACTGGTTGCCAAGCAACCAAATTTTGATCACGTGACCAGGATGCTGCAATGGTCATTAAGCGTGAAAAATAGTTATATGTCCATTATAACTAGATGTAAAAGATTGCAAACCCTCTCTTGGAGACCCCCGGGTCCCAGAACAGTTGGGTTCCACCCTACTGGCCCCATCCACCATCCCTGGCCCCATCCGCCTCGGCTTACCGCACTCTGTCCTTCTGGGGGCAGCAGAGTGATAACGCCCACTTTCACCCCCTCCTCTCCGGCCACCTTCAACAGCTGCACCACATCTGCGTGTTTCGACCACCTGCAGTCTTGGCCATTGATGGAGACAATGTAGTCTCCTTCCTTCAGACCGGCTTCCTATAGAGGTATATAATTTGCTGGAGTTGGTTTAGATGGGAGGGGAGAGGCTGGGAAAGGGTGGGAAGGGAGACTAAAACATACCACACTATCACCACACTATAAAAAAAGATGTTGAGACTCTAGAAAGAGTGCAGAGAAGAGCAACCAGGATGATTAGGGGACTGGAGGTTAAAACATACGATGAACGGTTGCAGGAACTGGGCCTGTGAAGAGAAGGACCAGGGGAGACATGAGAGCAGTCTTTCAATATTGGAGGGGCTGCCCCAGAGAGGAGGAAGGGGGTCAAGCTATTCTCCAAAGCACCGAAGGCCAGACAAGGAATAATGGAAGGAAACTGAACAAGGAGAGATTCAATCTGGAAATAAGGAGGAATTTTCTGACAGTGAGAACCATCAACCCATGGAAAAGAAGTTGCCTTCAGAAGTTGGGGGAGCTTCATCACTGGAAGCTTTTGAGAAGAGACTGGACTGCCATCTCTCAAAAATGGTGTAGGGTCTCCTGCTTGGGTGGGGGTGGGGGTTGGACTAGATGACCTACAAGGTCCCTTCCAACTCTGTTAATCCATAATAAATAAATTAAAAAAAACCTTGGGGAGGTCAGCCAGGAAAGAGGGATGCAAGATGAACACGCCGTAGGAGGGGGCACGGAAAATGAGGTAGGAGGTTGGAAACACACCACCAAAATAGCTCCATCAAAACAAAAACTTTTCCTGTTGTTTGCCATCTGGCAGCTGGTCTTCTGGCCACACAGCATGACCGCTGGGTCATGCAGATTAATTTACCTCTCATGGTTCATAGCTGCTGATAAGACTATTCTTCTCGGCCATTAATTTTGCATACTCTCCCTTTGAAGTTCCATACGGTGGCCAAGGTCACCCCCTTCTTTGTGACTTGGGCGATGAAGTCCTTGTTTTTGTGTCCAGGGATTCAGGTTCCATCTATCTGTTCTCCCAGGCGCCGAAGTTCTTAAGAGGAACGCGGAATGACCCGCTTTGTAGATGCACGGATACGGCGCTTATTGGCTGAAAACTAAGCTAACTGGCCAAGAACCAACTGGAATGTTTATCAACATCGTTATGGGTTCTTGAGCTTCTACTGAATTTCTCCCAGCATCGGATTTCCATCCTGACCCAAGATTGCCCCTGTAGTTGCCATCTTATGTTCGCTTTGTGTACTTTGCTACCATGCGGTGACTGCATGAACTGTGGGTGTGTGTGGATGGAAGGGGGAATGCTTGGGAAAAAGCGAAAGTAACTGCTGTATCTGCCTGAGATGCTGCTTCAAGGCTGGGAGAAGAAGGCAGCTGCATACCAACTTGAAGTCATCGTTCTGAAAACATCTTGCTTTGAATCTGATTGGTCGTGGAGGGATCAGCGATGGGAGACAATTATGGCTTAACATATATTTAATTTTTTAATTTTTAATTGGTTTGTCATTTTAAACTGGGGCCAAATTAATATATATCCTTTTAATTGTTCTTAATGTTTGTATTGTATCTTTTTATCTGGCTGTACACCGCCCTGAGTCCCTTGGGAGAAGGTGCGGTATATAAATTTGAAATAAAATAAATAAATAAATAAAATAAAAGGAAGGAAGAAGTTGAATTTAGGGATTTGGGCGAACGATTCTTAGTTCCGGCTATGCATTACTGCAATGTAATTGACTTCTAATAAAACTATACCTTCCTCAACAAATGGAACCAAGTGCTGGCAGGTCTAACAGCCCCTCTGAAACTGGGAGCCCCTGTAAGATTTCCAAAGCAACCCTGGATCCCAGCTTGCTTGTTACAGGATGGGCAACTCACCGCCGCACACCCACCAGCGATGATCCCAGCAACCAGGACCGGAGAATCGCCTCGCAGGGTGAATCCAAAGCCGTTTGCTCCGCGGACCAAGTGCACCGTCCGTGTGGGGTGCCACTTATTCTTGGCAGAGAAAACGGAGAGGGGTCCCTGGTGGGAGGGGGAAAAACAGATCATGCACTAGAAGACAGGGAGAGATGGGGCTGCGTCGCGGAGGCATTCTGAAGTTGTTCATACGTTACACTGGTCAACAGAAGGAAATATTTGTAGCTCAGGGCTGAATTGTGGATCCTCGGCGATCTCTGAGCTTGGTGGTTTTCTAGCGACATTTCATGATCCAACTATCAGTGTCATCATCAGTGCTAGAAGGGAGTGTTGCTTGTGGAGAGGAAGAGGAGGAAGAGGAGAGGGAGAGGGAGGACAATGACAGATAGGGTCCTTGGAGTTCTCTGAGCTTGGTTCCTTCCTCGCAGACATTTCATTGCCCAACTAGAGAACCTCATCAGTTTTAGAAGGGAGGAGGATTTGCAGGGTAGGAAGGAGGAGGAGGACGACAACAACTACGAGGTCCTTGGAGCTCTCTAAGCTTGCTTGATTTCTTGCAAATGTTTTATTACCCAACTAGAGAACATCATCAGTGCTAGAAAGGAGGTGTCAGCGTCTCAGCACTGACATAGAAAAGGGAGGATGAAGCCTGAACTTTTGCCTGCTAAATCCCTTTGAAGATTCGGTCTCCTCGGAGATGAGGAGGGGGGAAACATTCCCGTGAACTGACGAAAAGGGAATCAGGAGAGTGGCTTGGAAGATAGCCAATGAGAAGCAGAGAATTGGGGGTTGGAAAGGGAGGGATTGGGGGGCAAAGGTCAGTCCTGACTGCGAAAAGAGTCAGGATCAGATTGCTGTGCTCGAATAAAGAGAAAATTTCCTTAAAGATTGGCAGTTTGGAAGTTCATTTATTTTGAGATAGCATCGAAACCTGGCAGACAGTCAATACTGACCTTTGCCCCCCAATCCCTCCCTTTCCGATCCCCAATTCTCTGCTTCTCATTGGCTATCTTCCAAGTCACTCTCCTGATTCCCTTTTCGTCAGTTCACAGGAATGTTTCCCCCCTCCTCATCTCCAAGGAGACCGAACCTTCAAAGGGATTTAGCAGGCAAAAGTTCAGGCTTCATCCTCTCTTTTCTATGTCAGTGCTGAGACGCTGAAGGAGGGAGCATTGATCTCTAGAGATTAGAGATCTAGAGATTAACAGCACAATTAATAGTGGACCAACAACCAAACAATAAACAACAGCCTAATCAAGGAACCAGCAAGAACACTCCCACCAACACTGACAGGGCAAGCCACATGTATATAAAATAAGAGCAAATCCCATTCCTTTCTAGCATTGATGATGTTACCTAGTTGGGTCATGAAATGTCTGCAAGCAAGCAACCATGCTCAGAGAGCACCCAGGACCCCACATTAACACTTGTCACTCTGATCACTCTTCCCCGTCAACTAACACTCACAGATCGACTGTGTCTGGCCTCTCCAAGGCCCACTAAACCATTGTGGTTAAGAGCCTCTGATAGAACGTTCTCCACCAATAACTTCACCTCCTTTTGAGTTCTCCGTGCTTAACTGGTCAGCAAATTCTGGAGGTTAGTTACAATGTGGGCAGGAGGAAATAGCCAAGCAGAGGACAATTCTTCTTCTTTTGAGCTGATACCTGTTGTGGCTCCGTTGCCTGAGTCTGGGCTATCGACAGACTCTGAGAGTGAGGGAGAGGAGTTGGCAAGGCCTCCCTCTCCAGGACCCTCCTCTCTGGCAATGCCTCCGGAGGACACCGAAGGCCAAAAGATAGGCCCAGAGCTAAGCACGTCCCCGCAGCCACAGGTGGACAGCGACGATGAAGATAAGTGCTGGCTGGACCCTCGGCAGAGGCGCAGGGAGAAGCGTGCGCAGCAGAGGGGAAGGCGTGCCAGAGATTAGCTTTGTCACTGGACCACACCCCACAGGGTATAAATGTGGGTGTGGTGGCTGGTTCAGTTTGTGACGAGCAAAAACTAGAAATAATCCATGATCTCTGTGTTACTGGACTTCTGCCTGCCTTGTCGGACTGCATTTGGACTAATCCTTGTATTGCGGAAACTTTGCCTGCTTTATCGGAATGCTTGCAGTCTAATCTTTGTTTTGTGTGAGTAAAGTCTGAATTAGCAGCTAGCCATTGGGTTGCTGCCAGATTTATCTTCAAAGATTTTGTCGTGTGGCTTATTAACTCCGGGCCGTCTGTGGGGGTGCATGTGTGGGACGGGGACAGAACAATACCAAAACTTCACATGCTTTGGTCATGGGGCACCAGGAGATATGGCCTAGGCAAAATTATTCTACTGACAAAGTGGAGGAAAAAGTAGAATGGAAAGATAATGCATTGGCTGAATGGACAGCCTCACTGGAAGATCCTTGGAAAAGTTACAGATTACTCTTGGGAAAAGTTGAGGGAAGGAAGGTGTCAGGCCTGGAAGCCATCTTTTATATTGGGTCAACAGGCCTGCCACATTTACTACTGTGGGAAATTGGGAGAGGGGGATTGTACGGAGCCAGGGTGATATGTAGTCATAATAACATTCTTTTCTCTGAGAGTCAAGGACATCCTGCCCTGCACCTGGAGGGCTGGAACTGGGAGGCATCTCCAGTTGGGATGGTGCATTGATTGGACCATGTGATGGACATGTGGGTGCAGGGGAAGGGACTTGAACTTTCCTTTGGGTGGGGAAAACCTGGAAGCTTTCAGATTTGGGTTTTCCCAGATGTGCCAATATGACATCTCTAATAAAATGGAACTTTGTGGAACTTCAAGCCTCGGAGTCTTCTTTCGTTGGGGGTGTTCCTAGGAACCCTGACAGGATCAAAGAGATGATGACACTGTCCTTGGAACAGCTATTCATTATTTCTGGAGACAAGTTGAGATGGTGAACGTTGGTTCTTGCCATCACCAGAACCGACTTGATGGCAACTAAGTCTATCAGGAAATTCCGATTTTACTCCAACTCTACTCTTGTGTCCATCAACTTTCTTGGGTAAATGTGAACTCTTATGAAAGTTGGAGAACCATGCAATGGTAGTGCACTGGTGTATACTGGAAATCACAACACACAGGGCTATTTGAATTCTAGTTCTATGAGGACAGGACCTTTGCTGTCCACACAAACACAATTCTCTCACAGGAGGTATCAAACTTACCAGTCTATGAAAGATGTCGATGACCTTCACCTTGGAGAAGTTGGGAGATTTGATTTCAGGTCTCTGATGTGTTTTGGCTAGAAGAATACAACAGGAGGGAAAACGTTACAACTTTGGAACCTGGTTTCTTCCATACTTTAGTTCACACTGAAGATGGATCTAAGACCAAAAACAAAAAGTGTGCTTTCCATTCACCCAAATACAGAATTTGACTCTGGGCAAGTTCCTAGTCCTTCAACCTAGAACAACCTAGAACATCTAAAAAAAGAGCTGGAATGACACTTAGAACTTCAGAAGCCATGAAGGGAGAGTTTAATAGTGACCATAATCAGGTCTCTGATCCTTCATGAAACACCAAAGGAACATGTCTTTGCTACTGGTCAATGGAGGTCATGGATGAACCCAACCATTTATTTATTTATTTAATTTTTTAATGTTGTGTTGTCTGCTCCAAAAGCTGTTGTGTTGGCAGCAACCCCATGAAAATGTAACTCTGTGGCTTAAAGGTCCTCTTGGACTTATGGTTACTATCGGAAGGGTAGGTAGAAGCTATGGCCAAGAGATCTTCACCTTGTTTTGGTCAACGTGTTGGCCGCAACTCAACTGGCCAAGGTGACACTCATTCATGTCCTTGTCACCACAGGGCAGATTATTGCAATGTATGATGAGTGGCACCCCACTTGAAGACTGGTCAGAAACTGGAATTAGAGCAAACTGTAGCTACCGTATTTTTTGGCGTATAAGACACACCGGAGTATAAAACGCACCTACCTTTTTTGGTGAGGAAAAGAAGAAAAAGAAATCTCCCTCTGCCACCCAGCAATTTTGCCTCCTTGCAGCAAACAGCCTGCTTTACTTTCATTTTCGTTTTCAGCATAGCTTGATTAGCACAAGAAAAAAAAAAATCTGCTCCCAGCAATTTACATTCTTGCAGCAAGCAGCAGAGCCCTGCGTAAAACAGCTGAGAGCAAAACAGCTGAGAGTCAGGAGGCCAATCCAATCAACTTGTGCTAATTAGGCTGTGCTGAAGCTGAAACGAGCTGTTTCTTCTTGCTGTTTGCTTGCAAGGAGGTAACTGCTATGAGGCAGAGGCCAAAGGGTGGGGGCCAGTGGGTGGGCGGTGCGACATTCGGTGTATAAGATGCACCTAAATTTTCACCCCGTTTTAGGGGGGAAAAAGGTGCGTCTTATACTCCGAAAAATATGGTACTTGCATGCCAACAGGCCACAGCTGTTATAGCTACCTTTCATCTATGTTGTGGGTGTTGTATTACACGAGGTTTCCAGGCACAATTCCAAGGATTAATTTAACCTTGAAAGACCTACATGGCTTTGCTTGTAGATCTTAGATACTGGATATGTCTTTGTCTAATGAAAAGAAGGACTTGGGGCGACATGATAGCAGTCTTCCAATATTTGAGGGGCTGCCATAAAGAAGAAGGGGTCAACCTATTTTCCAAAGCACTAAAAGGCAAGACAAGAAACAATGTGTGGAAACTAATCAAAGAGAGAAGCAACCCAGAACTAAGGAGGAATTTCCTGACAGTGAGGACAATTAATCAGTGGAACAACTTGCCTGCAGAAGTTGTGAATGCCCCAACACTGGAGGCTTTTAAGAAGAGATTGGACAGCCATTTGTCTGAAAAGATATAGTTTCCTGCCAGAGCAGGGAGTTGGACTAGAAGACCTCCAAGGTCCCTTCCAACTCTGTTATTACTCCAATTTTACCCTTTTTTGAGCCAAATGGATTGTTCCATTGGGGCTCAGGGATAGCGAAGACCAAATTTCTCTAAATTCAATCCCCACCCCACCAAAAAACCAGTTGCAGGAATTGGGTATGTCTAGTCTAGTGATGGCTAACCTTTTTGCCATCCCGTGCCAAAAGCGGGGGGGAGAGCGGGGGAGGTTGCGCACGCGTGTGCCCACACCCATAATTCAAGGCACCCTGCTTTGCCCCGCCCCCCTGCGCATGCACCGACACCCCCCCCCATCAGCGCTCACCCAGCTTGTGGCACGCAACGGCAAAAAGGTTACCGGTGGGCCCGGTATGCCTGTTTTTCACCCTCCCCAGGCTCTAGAGGCTTTCTTGGAGCCTGGGGAGGGCAAAAACAGCCTCCCCCATGCCCCCGAGGTCCTCCGGAGGCCGGAAACAGCCTGCTCCCAACTTCTGATGGGCCCGGAAGGCCCAAAAATTAGCTGGCCAGTGCGCTGGAATTGAGCTAGGGCAACATTCACGTACCCACAGATATGGCTCCGTGTGCCACCTGTGGCACGTGTGCCATAGGTTTGCCATCACGGGTCTAGTGTAACGAAAAGAATGACTAGGGGGGACATGATAGCAGTGTTCCAGTATTTGAAGGGTTGCCAGAAAGAGGGGAGGGTGGGTTTCAATCTATTCTCCAAAGCACCAGAAGGCATGACAAGAAGCAACGGATGGAAACTCATCAAGGAGAGAAGCAACCTGGAAATAAGGAGGAATTTCTTGAGAATGAGGACAATTAATCAGTGGAACAATTTGCCTGCAGAAGTTGTGAATAGATTAGACATTTATCTGGGATGGGATAGGGTTTCCTGCAGGGGTGAAAATGCTACCGGTTCAGTCAGGTTCGCCTGAACCGGTAGTAAAAAAAAAAAGTTCCGATGATCAGCTGAGCGACCTGCGATCGTCGGAACTTTTTTTTGTTTTTTACTTTTTAAGCATTTTTTTACTACTGGTTCGGCGAAAAGGTAAAACGTTAAAAAAAAGGCTCTGACGATCACAGCTGTGGCGTGCGATCGTCGGAGCCTTTTTTTACCTTTTAAGTGCATTTTTTTTACTACCGGCTCGGGCGAATAGGTAGTAAAAAAATGCATTTAAAAGGTAAAAAAAAAGACTCTGACGATCGCGCGCCACAACTGTGATTGTCGGAGCATTTTTTTACCTTTTAGATACATTTTTTTACTACCTATTTGCCTGAGCTGGTAGTAAAAAATGCTTTTAAAAGAGAAAAAAAGGGTCCAACGATCACAGCTGTGGCACATGATTGTTGGAGACTTTTTTGTTACTTTTTAAATGCATTTTTTTACAACCGGCTCGGGCGAATAGGTAGTAAAAAAATGCATTTAAAAGGTTAAAAAAAAGACTCCCATGATCATGCGCCACAGCTGCTCACACCCCACCCCCGCGCGCTGTTCTACTTACCTTCTGTTAGGAAATGGCTATTGTCTAACTAGTTGGTCAGGCAATATATAAACTATCAATACATGTTTGTCAAAAGGAATTATATTGCTTTAAGACTGTATTGCATCATCCTGTATCCTGATTGGCTAAGTTCTGTAGCCAATGTTCTTAAGGGGAAGCCTGAATCATGGCTTGTGGACACTACACCATTTTATCTGCTTATTTGCTGTTACTCTCTACCTGTTCTCTCTGCATGATCACTGTTTGATCATTGCTACTTGTTGCTTTCTACTATTTATTGAATGTTTTAATACTGAACTTGTTCCTGTTTGAAACTCAAGAAGAACTGTTTTATTGTGTAATGACAACAACTGGTAAGAAGACTTTGTACTTGGAATATCCCTGAATTGATATTTTAACTATCGCCTTATCTGTGTATGACTTGGATTGTTATTGGACTTTGCTTTGCTTTTTCCTAAAAGTAAAAGACTACCACAACTCAGTGTGTCAGTATATTAACTGTGTTTATTCACTCTCAGCCACTTTCATGTACATACGCAAGGGGTACTCTGCTCAATAACCCATAACATCGGTTATGAGCCAAGAATATCCTTAACACCTTCCCAAGCCTCCTTTTGGTGTGCACTGTGCGTGTGCACACCCACACCTCACATTTGGTGTGTGGTGCACATGCGCAGCCAGCGAACCAGTAGTAAACTGGTTCAGATTTCACCATTGGTCTACTTGAGCAGGGAGGTTTGTCTAGAAGACCTCCAAGGTCCCTTCCAACTCACATCCAGCCAAGATTGGCAAGGGCTGCCATCTGATGAATCACAACCACAAAAGCCCAACTCATCTACTTGTTCACTTACGATGGATGTCTGGGGCTTCCGCGGTTTCAAAGAAATCTTCCTCATGGTCAATTTCGGAGTATTTGCTGAGGGACCGTTTGTGGGCCAGCGAGAGGACCTCCTGCAAGATATCCATCTTCCTCAAGATCTTGCACAAGCTATGGATCCTCATGGCCTCCTCATGCTCGATTATGGCTTTCTTGAGGTGAGCTTTCCCTGCAAAAACACAACTCACGCATGTCCACCTTGGAGAATCAAAACTCACAGCCCAACAACACAGCCTTGGGTTGGCTACTTTTCTGAAAGGACCTGGTTGATCCTTCTCATAAACCCCCTCAGTAGAAGATATAGAAGAGAGCAGAGAGAAAGATCCCTTAGAAAGGACGAAAGAGGTACTGATGGGTATTTTAGAGCAGGGGTCTCCAACCTTGGCAACTTTAAGACTTGTGGACTTCAACTCCTGGCAAAGCTGGCTGAGGAATTCTAGGAGTTGAAGTCCACAAGTCTTCAAGTTGCCAAGGTTGGAGACTCCTGTTTTAGAGAGTAGACAACAAGGCAGATGTAGAGCAGATAGAATATTTAGATTAAACATGAGTGATGTAGAGGGATACAAGATCCCAAGGGAGAAGCATGGGAGATGGATAAGTCAATTAGAGTTGATTTGAGTTTGTTTATTTATTTATTTATTTAATTTATTAATTTAAAGTATTTATTTATAATATTTATATTTATTTATTTATTTATTTATTATTTATTTATTTATTTATTTATTTATTTATTTATTCAATTTCTATACTGTCCAATTAGGATCAGGGCGAATAGCCAAAGTAAAAAACAGGAATACAAAACTGTTTAAAAAAGTTTAAAATAATTGAAATACTAAAGAGTTGAAATACTAAAAAGGGCAAAGGATGATAGTAGATATAGAATACATCTTAATATGGGATTTGTTTGATTAAAGATTAGAAAATTGAGCTAGAAACGAAAACTTGGGAATTGTTGTTATGCATACTGTTATGATATAAGCTACTATAACTACTACAGTAGTGGCCAAAATTGTGGAAACCTTTTGGGAAAAGTGTATTTTCTAAAACTTAGCTAATAACACCACTTTTTTTTTGTTGTAGTAGTATACCGTAAAATTATATATCAATGGAAAGACAATTTAATCAAGAATGTAATGCAATAACTTTTACGAAGGATTTGCTATTAGAATAGCAGTTACAGTATAAAGGAGAAAAGTGAAACAGGTCGAAAAAAATGAGATATACAAAAATGGTCACATAGAAAAAAAAACGAGATATACAGTATAAAAATGATCACCATGTCAGTTAATTCTTAGTTGGGTACCTTTAGCATGAATGATGACCTTACAATGTCTTCCCATCGAGTGAACCAAGTCTTTTAGTTCTGCAACTGTTCTAATGTGAAACCAAGATTGAATGATGGCTTCTATGAACTGGGTTTTATTGCTGTGTCGCTTCTGACTAACAAGTTTCTTTAGTCCGCTCCATAGATTTTAATTGGGTGAAGGTCTGGGCTATTCTGAGGACATTCTAGTAGTGGAATATGATTATCTTGAAACTCCCCCCCACCAAAAAAAAGGGGTGTTATTAGCCATCAAACCTCAAAAATACACTTTTCCAAAAGGTTTTCCACAATTTTGGCCACTACTGTATGTATAAGTAAATGTTAAAAGCTGACAGATTACGATCACATATGCTTAAACAGTAAAGAGTAAGAGATGATGGATAGATACCTAATACTTCTTAATATGGGAATTGTTGTATTAGGGGTTAGAAATAAGAGGCAGAAAGTAGAAATTGGGAAAACATTACTATGCATACTGCTACAAAATATAATACATCAGAACCAAAATGTATATGTAAATCTTAGAATTTGAAAGATTATCATTATGTATAGCTAAATAATATTACTAGTATTTTGTATAAAGCAAATTGACCCAGACAATGTACTGTTCACTAAATATTTATATATGTTGAAGAAAAAAAAAACCATAAATAAAATTATATAAAAAAATAAATCCCTCAGTGCTCAGGAAACATCACACCTGCTCCATCCATCAACACAACTGAGAAACTACCCTAGCAAAACTGTCCTCTAAATTTTGAGAGTTGGCTAAAAAAAAAAAAAGGTACCCTTACCTTAAATTTAAATACGATTTTCCAAGCGGACCAAACGAGCTTAATTTAAAAAATGGAAGTCGTTCTACGAGAAGAAGTTCTACAATTCACACCGACAAAAAATGTTGCCCCTTATAGGAAGCAAATCTACATTATGGGTGTGGATGTTGGCACTTCCGGAATCCACGACACAAATTAACGTCACAATACCAAAGTTTTGCTTGGTTGGCTAGGAGACGAGAGAGATGGTTCCAGAAGCTGTGGGAGTGTCAGGGTTCCAAGGAACACCCCCAATGAAAGAAAACTCCGAGGCTTGAAGTTCCCTCAAAGTTCCATTTTATGAGAGATGTCATATTGGCACATCTGGGAAAACCCAGATCTGAAAGCTTCCAGGTTTTCCCCACCCAAAAGAAAGTCCAAGTCCTTCCCCTGTCCCCATATGTCCATCACAAGGTCCAATCAATGCACCATCCCAACTGGAGATGCCTCCCTGTTCCAACTGTCCAGATGCAGGGCAAGATGTCCTTGACTCTCAGAGAAAGGGATGTTATTATGACTACGTATCACCCTGGCTACATACAATCCACCCTCCCAATTTCCCACAGTAGCAGTAAATATGGCAGGCCTGAAGGCCCAAGGCAAATAAAAATGGCTTCCAGGTCTGACAAGGAGCTCCATGACTGGAGGTTTTCAAGAAGAAGAAGCTTCTGGAACTGCAATTTCAGAAAGGTCCAAAATTATGAGAAACCCACTTCTTCCTGCGCACGCTGATCTTCCTCATCTATCAATTGGCAGGCTTAAATCCAGGAAGCCCTCTTTGGCACTCGCTCAACAATTGTCTAACAACTTTGACGTCAACACACAGTGGAAAGCCAAATGGACTGCTGAATGCCCAGATACGCAGTTATGTAATGACCCTACACAAAAGGTGCCACTTTCCTCGCTAGTATTGGTCAACTCTGAAAAGGATCCCTACCTGTTCTGCCCCAGCTACGGACCCCAAAAACGCAGCACACACAAACTCTATACAAAGCTTATTTTACTTAGTCTTTATCATCCAAAAAGCTGTTAAAAAACTGTCTTAACAGCCTATCAGAATTCTAAGATAAGGTAATCACAGTCTTACTAAAGTTGGCAGAAAGTCCAGAAGCAATTTGCAGAGAATCCAGGACGCGAAGGAGATTGAACTAAAGTTGTTTCCTACAGCTTGCTGCAAGCGGTGTTCCTCCTTAAATAGGCTAAGGGAGTGGCCAATTAGCCCCAAGCCTTACTCTCAAGGAGACCTCCTCCTAAGGAGCCACTCCTGCCTTTTGGCAGCTCTGCGCGCCCATGCATCGAGAAGAGGCTCCTCTTCTTCCTCTTCACTTAAGGGAGCCTCTGGAGGTTCTGAAGGCCCTGGCTGAATCCCTGCCTCTGGCACCACATCTTCTCCAGCCTCCTCGCTGTCCGACTCGAGCACCAGCTGCACAGGCTGCTGGAGCAGCACCACACCAGCCTCCTCGCTGTCGGAATCAGCTACAATCTGCACAGGCTGCTGACGGGCCACAACTCCTACCCAACATGGTGTCTGCCAGGACTCATTGTTTAAGTGGGATCTCGTCTCTACCCCTCAGTGTGACTGTGGCGCTCCTCAACAAAATATCCACCACACTGTGTCCGAATGTCCATCAAGAGCTTACACCGGCCCAATGACTGATTTTTTTTTTTTTTACATAGACCACCTGTCTTGAATGGCTGTGAGAACTGGACATTAATATTTGAACTGCTATAAGTCATATATTTGCCATATGCTAAATAAATCAATTTGAATAAAGAAATTGGAGAAACATTTGTCTGGGGTAGTATAGGGCAGTGGTTCCCCCAATCTTTTGAATCTTACCAGGGACGGTTCTGCGGGAAAACAGTTTTTCCAACCAATATACAGTAGTGGCCAAAATTGTGGAAACCTTTTGGGAAAAATGTATTTTCTAAAACTAGCTAATAACACCACTTTTTTTTGGAGTGGTACCATAAAATTCTATATCAATGGAAAGAGAATTTAATCAAGATTGTAATGCAGTAACTTTTATGAAGGATTTGCTGTTAGAATAGCAGTTACGGTATAAAGAAGGAAAGTGAAAACACATAGAAAAAATGAGATATACAACAATTATCACCATGTCAGTTAATACTTAGTTGGGTAACCTTTAGTATGAATTATGGCCTTACAAGGTCTTCCCATGGAGTGAACCAAGTCTTTTAGTTCTGCAGCTTTTTATAACGTGAAACCAAGATTGAATGATGGCTTCTATTAACTGGGTTTTATTGCTGGGTCGCTTCTGACGAACAAATTTCTTTATTCGGCTCCCTAGATTTCCAATTGGGTTAAGATCTGGGCTATTCCCAGGCTGTTCCAGCAGTGGAACAGGATTATCTTGAAACTCCAAAAAAAAAAAAAAAAAAAAAAAAAGTGGTGTTATTAGCCATCAAACTCAAAAATACATTTTTTCCGAAAAGATTTCCACAATTTTGGCCACTACTGTAGTTAGTCCTCGACTTACGACTCCCATTCAGCCCAAAATTTCTGTTGCTAAGCGAGACAGTGGCGAAGGGAGTTTTGTTGCACTTTACGAACTTTCTAAGCACCGTCCTTAAGTGAATCACTGCAGGTGTTAAATTAGTAACCCGGTTGTTAAGCGAATCTGACTTCCCCAATGACTTTGCTGGTCAAAGGTCACAAAAGGGGATCACCCCGGGACACTGCAAGTGTCATAAAGACATGCCAGTTGCCAATCGTCTGAGTTCTGATCACATGACCACAGAGGTGTTGCAATGGTCGTAAGTCTGAAAAACAGACCCAAATAACTTTTTTTTTAGTGCCAATTGTAACTCTGAACGGTCACTAAACGAATGGTTGTAAGTCGAGGATTACCTGTACTGGAATTTTGATCACGTGACCTTGGACATGTTGCTCGAGTCATAAGTGCGAGGACGGGTTAAATTCCGTTTTTTCAGTGCCATTGTAACTTTGAACAGTTGCTAACTGATGGTTCTTAAGTTGAGGAGTACTGACACTATTAGCAGCCTAGGAGATGTCCCTGCTCTTGTCAGACCTCTGACTTTCATTTCTGCACCTGGGTGTTTTTTGGGTGGGGGGGGTGGGGGGTCACTCACCTAGTCGCCGGCGCGCTTCCTGGTCTTGCAAGAGTAAGAAAGGAGCGGTCCTTCGGCGTGGAAACGTGAAACTGGAGGAAGGCTTTTTCATGCTCGGGAAAATCCACCTCCGACGTGCCTGCATCCTGAGCCAGCATGGACCTGTGGACTTCAACTCCCAGAATTCCTGAAGCGACATGGATCTGTGGACTTCAACTCCCAGAATTCCTGAGCCGACATGGATCTGTGGACTTCAACTCCCAGAATTCCTGAGCCAGTCATGTTGGCTTGGGAATTCTGGGAATTGAAGTCCACAAGTCATAAAGGGACCATCGTTTCCCCACCTCTGGCTTAGATCAGGGCTGAAATCCAGCAGGTTCTGGAGAACTGGTAGCGGAAATTTTGAGCAGTTCGGAGAACCAGCAAATACCACCTCTGGCTGGCCCCAGAGTGGGGTGGGAATGGAGAGTTTGCAGTATCCTTCCCCTACCACACCCACCAAGCCAGACCACATCCACCAGGCCACGCCCACAGGTAGTGGGCCACGCCCACTACCTTTTTTACAGGTAGTAAAAAAAAAAATGGATTTCACCACTGGCTTAGATGCTCAGGAATAACGCATCCAAGAGGAAGGGAGAATCAACTTTCATTTAAACTTATGGAGAGGGATAAAGCGAGGTAGGGCAGCTCTCCTAGCAAATTCAGGGCAGGCCATTCAAAGCAAAGATTGCAAACCAGGAAGGAAGCTCTGCAGATTATTGAAAAAATGTGTCTAACACACACTCTTGTCTGACAGTCTTGGACCAATCAAATCCTGCAGCGGATGGGAAGATCTCGCCTTATCCTCATTTTGCTAGCTAAAGCCTCCTTGGCTTAGTGAAGGATGAAGTTTAGGATCACGGCCGCCCCTGAGCAACTGAGGGAGAGGAGGAGCTAAACTAAGTTAAGGAAACCAGCTGGGAACTTCAGTAGAGTTGAAATTTCATTAAAAGGGGGGTCAACATTTGAATGCATTTCCCCCCTTCCAACAGATTATCTTCCCAAAGACTCTGCAAAGATACATTCAGTTTCAGAAGGGCAGCCATGGCTGACCCACTCAATCTTCCTTTCTAAATGTTGCTTCTAAATCCTTTAAGAGGGAGGAAGGGAGATAAGAGGGAAAGAAGGAGGAAAGGAGGGAGGGAAGGAAGGATAGAAGGGAGAGGGAGGGAGGGAGAGAAGGGAGAGGGAGGAAGATGAGAAGGGAAAGGAAAGGAAGAAAGAAGGGAGGAAGAGAGGGAGGAAGGAAAGAAGAAGGAAGGAAAAAAGGTAAAAAGGAAGGAAGGAAGGAAAGACTGAAAAGAAAGGAAGGAAGGAGGAAGGGAGGGAGGGGATAAGTGGGAGGAAGAAAGGAAGGAAGGAAGAAAAGAAGAAAGAAGAGAAGGGGAAGGGAAGAAAGAAGAGTGGGAGGAAGGAAAGAAGGACTATGAAAAGAAAGGAAGGAAGGAGGGAGGGAAGGGAGAAGTAGGAGGGAGGAAGGAAGGTGGGAGAGAAGGGGGAGGGAGGAAGATGAGTAGGGGAAGGGAAGGGAAGAAGAGAGGAAGGCAGGGAGGGAGGGAAGAAGTGGGAGGGAGAAAGGAAGGAAGGCGGGAGAGAAGGGGAGAGAGGGAGGGAAGAGAGAAGGGAGGAAGAAAAGAAGAAAGATGAGAAGGGGAAGGGAAGAAAGAAGAGAGGGAGGAAGGAAAGAAGGAGGAAGGAAGGAAAAAAGGTAAGAAAGAAGGAAGGAAAGAAAGACTATGAAAAGAAAGGAAGGAGGGAGGAAGGAAGGAAGGGAGGAAAAAAGGAAAAAACAGAGGTTTTACCGTATAATGTGGGTGCTCTATGTACAGCTCAGATCTGTTCCCTCCCTACATAATTCCTCCCCTCCCTTCTTCCCCTCCTCAGACAGTCCTCCGTGAGAACAAGAGAAGCTCTTGGCAGCCGTGGTTACTCACAGGGGCAGTCGCAAAGGGCAACCGCAGCGTAGTAGTGCGAGAGGGCCTTGAAGTGCTCGGCTTTGACGTGCACCATGGAGGTCCAGGAGAAAGGCACGTAGTCCTTGACGTGGGGCTGGGCCATGGTCTGGTGCACCAAGGAGTAGACCTCTTCCACCTGGGGAGGGAAAGAGAGGGCAAGCTGAAGACGGGAAGTCCAAGGAGGCAAGCAAGGAAGAGGACAGTGTCCCTCGATGGCCACCAGAAGAACATCTGGCTTGGCGGATTCCATAGCATGGTGCCAGGTTCGCGATGGTGGTGAACTTCTGTAGCTCGGGGTGGGGGTTTGTCACCTCAGGTGAGGGTCACTGGGAGGGGAAGTGACGGATGGGGAGGGGTTACGTGGGTTGGCCCTCCACACGCAATTCCATCAACAGACCCATCGAACTTCAACCAGCCTATGAACCCCTCAGCATCCAAATCCACTGCACAGCCAACCAGAGACAGCATTGACCTTCACCCAACTCACACGAGCCCCCCACACACAACCAGCACTTCACCTGCCAGTGACCCTCACCTGATGTGACCTTCCCTCACAAGAACCTCACCTGATATGACCCTCACCTGACCCATCACAAGACCCTCCCTTGATGCAACCCGCATTTGACCCATCACAAGACCCTCACCTGACGTGACCCACACCTGAACCATCACAAGACTCTCCCTTGAGGCAACCACACCTGACTCACCACAAGACTCTCACCTGACATGAACCTCACCTGATGTGACCATCATCTGACCCATCACAAGACTCTCACCTGATGCAACCTTCACCTGATGTGACTTCCCCATCACAAGATCCTCCCCAGACATGAACCACACCTGATGTGACCATCACCTGACCCATCATGACCCTCACTTGACATGACCCACACCTAACCCACTACAAGGCCCTCACCTCATGTGAACGTCACCTGACATGACCTCTCCATCACAAGACCTGTTAGGAAATGACTATTACCTAACTTGTTGGGTTGGCAATGTATAAACCATCAATATAACTTTAAGACTGCTGTATTGCATCATACTGTGTCCTGATTGGTTAGCTCTGTAGCCAATGTCCTTAAGAGGGAGCTAGAAACATGGTTTGTTTCTCTTTGCTGATCTCGCTCTCTGATATCTCTGTATGCTACTGTTTGCAAATCCAAAAGAACTGTTTACTGTGAATGACTACGACGACTGGTAAGAAGACTTAGTTATTGGATTATCCCGGGACTGTCGTTTTGCTATCTCCTGCTTTATATGTGTATGACCTGGACTGTTTAGTGGATTGTGCCTTACTATTTCCTGAAAGTAAACACAACTCAGTGTATCTGTGTGTTGACTGTGTTTATTTGTAACTACTCTCCATCGCTTTCATGTGCACACCCTTGCTACTCAAGGGTTACTCTGCGAATTCCTTAATGAAACCTACTGGTCCACACGAAGCCCCTATCAGCAGAAGAACACCAACATTGACATCCCCTCAACTCTGCTGAAGACGTTACCTAGCCAGGTAACAAAATGTTCGGAAACCCACCCACAAGCTTGGAGAAGGAAGCTTCTCCCCCCACTCACTGGGCCTGGTCCCCTCTGGTGGGATTCAAGAGGCCTCCGTTCCCTCTTGCCCCCGTCCTCGGATTCCCTACCCGGGCTGCTTCCTGGGCGAGCTGCAGGTAGACAAGGAAGTCGCTCTGGGCTCCCAGCAGGAGAACCTTCTCGAAGACGCATTCCTGCACCTGGGAGATCATCAGGCGGACCAGCATGTTGAGGGAGGGGCTGCTCATGTCGAGGCTGGGGGCGTTGGAGAAGTTCTCCTTCAGGTAGTTGAAGGCGCCTGCAAAAGGAGAGGCCGGAGGAGATCCTCCACTTACGACCGCAGCTGAGCCCAAAATTTCTGTTGCTAAGCGGGACAGTTGTTACGTGAGTTGTGTCCCATTTTGCGACCTTTCTTGCCATGGTTGTTAAGTGAATCCCTGCAGTGGCTAAGTTAGTCACGCGGCTGTAAAGTGAATTCCGGTTTCCCCATCGGCTTTGCTCATCGGAAGTTCGCAAAAGGGGGTCACGTGACTTGCAAGGGGGGGGGCAATGCAACAGGCACAAATACAGGCCAGTTTCCAAGCATGTTGCTTTCGATCACGTGACCATCGGGAGGCTGCAACGGTCGTAAATGTGAAAAACGGTCCTAAGTTACATTTTTCTGGGCTGTTGCAACTTTGAACGGACACTAAATGAATGGTTGTAAGTCAAGGACCATCTGCTCTCAACTGTTGCCCCATCAAAGGACAGTCGATGCCGTTGAACTCAGCGGTGAAATCCAGCTGGATCTATCCAGGTCGCGCGAACCGGTAGCGCCGGTGGTGGGAGGCTCCGCCCACCCGCCGGGATGTCATTACGTCCCGTTTTTGACCCTCTGCGCATGCACAGAAGAGGCGTGCGCGCTCCCATTCAAGAACCCGGTAGCGAAGGTAAGAGGATTTCACCGCTGGTTGAACTCAATAGGATTTAGCCTCGAGGAGCCAAGCAAAGAATTACTGTCAAGTTTGTGTGTGATTTGTTTTACAGTTCAGGACGCAAATTTCTAGGAAAAATTGGCAGAAAGGAAGGAAGGAAGGAAGATGAGAAGGGGGAAGGAAGGGAGGGAGGGAGGGAGGGAAGAAGGAAAGAAGAGAGAAAGGAAAGGAGATAATGGGGAGGGAGGGAGGGAGGAAGGAAGGTGAGAAGGGGAAGGAAGGAAGGGAGGGAGGTAGAGAATGGAGAGAGAGGGAGGAAGGAAGATGAGAAGGGGGAAGGGAGGAGGGGAGAGAGAGAATGGGGAGGGGGGGGAGGAAGGGAAGAAGGAAAGAAGAGAGAAAGGAAAGAAGATAATGGGGAGGGAGGGAGGAAGGAAGGTGAGAAGGGGAAGGAAGGAAGGAAGGGAGGTAGAGAATGGAGAGAGAGGGAGGAAGGAAGATGAGAAGGGGGAAGGGAGAGAGAGAATGGGGAGGGAGGGAGGAAGGGAAGAAGAGAGAAAGGAAAGGAGATAATGGGGAGGGAGGGAGGGAGGAAGGAAGATGAGAAGGGGAAGGAAGGAAGGTAGAGAATGGAGAGAGAGGGAGGAAGGAAGATAAGAAGGGGAAGGAAGGGGAAGGAAGGGAGGGAGGGAGAGAATGGGGAAGAAGGAAGATGAGAAGGGGAAGGAAGGAAGGGACAGAATGGAGAGGAAGGAAGGGAAGAAGGAAAGAAGGGAGAAAGGGAAGAAGAGAATGGGGAAGGAGGGAGGAAGATGAGAAGGGGAGGGAGGGAGAGAGAGAATGGAGAGAGAGGGAGGAAGGAAGATAAGAAGGGGAAGGAAGAGAGGAAAGGAGGGAGGGAGAGAATGGGGAAGAAGGAAGATGAGAAGGGGAAGGAAGGGAGAAAAAAAAGGAGGGAGGGAGATGTGAAGGGAGGGAGAGAGAAAATGGGGAGGGAGGGAAAAAGGGAAGATAAGAAGGGGAAGGAAGGGAAGAAGGGAGGGAGGGAGAGAATGGTGAGGGAGGAAGGAAGGGAGGGATATGAGACGGGAAAGGGAAGGATTTGAATTCGCACCATGGGTTAAACTAAGCTGTACTGAGTCTGGGGATTTGAAGTCTAGTGGGGAAGCCCACCACCGTCTTAGCACAGGAGTCTGCAAGCTTGGCTACTTTACGACTTGTGGACTTCAACTCCCAGAATTCCAAAATCGGCAAGGGAACTCTGGGAATTGAAGTCTACCAGTCATAAAGCTCCCAAGTTTGGAAACCTCCATTATCTTAGCCAATTGGGGGAAATCAGGAGATTTTATTCAGCTACGGAAATGGTTTATTTCTAGGGCCCAAGCAGTTGCCCTTGGCAACTGGCATGTATTCTGTTCTGTTCCCTTAACAAAACCTCGCTTAACAACAGAAATTCTGCTCCCAATGTTGGTCGTAAGTCGAGGACGACCTGCATATATGAAGGTCGAGCTGCGTCCTGCTAATCTTGGCGTGGAATAACATGTTTGCATGAATCCGAACCTCAACACTATCTAACTCCCCACTCCCAATTGGAAGGAGCTAAGGAGGCTTCGCCCAAGTCAACGTACCCGATGCCCTTTGGAAGGCTTCGATGGCGCAGTCCACCCCCTGCAAAGTGGTACGGTCCTGGCGCGCGCCGATCTGGGTGTGCAAGGCTCCGATATTAAAAAGCACGCTTCCTTTCTCGAAAGCCAGGGCCCGCTGGTGAGAGGGCACTCCCGTCAGCGAATCGTACCTGGGAAGAAGAGCGGAGCGGTAAGACAAAGGAGATGGAGACCCAACGGGGTTAGTCAAGAAAGGAGAACGTTTGGCAGGTCGGGGGTTGAACTGTGGTGTCTTTGATGCTGTTCTGTCCCCGTTCCACTCACGCACCCCCACAGATGGCCCGGAGTTAATAAGCCACACGACAAAATTCTTTGAAAATAAAGCTGGCAGCAACCCAGTGGCTAGCTGCCAATTCAGACTTTACTCACACAAAACAAAGATTAGACTGCCAGCATTCCGATAAAACAGGCAGAGTTTTCAACAATACAAGGATTAATCCAAATGCAGTCCAATAAAGCAGGCAAAGTCCAGTAACACAGAGATCATGGATTAGTTCTAGTTTTTGCTCATCACAAACTGAACCGGCCACCACACCCACATTTATACCCTGTGGGGTGTGGTCCAGTGACTCAGCTAATCTCTGGCACGCCTTCCCCTCTGCTGCGCACGCTTCTCCCTGCGCTGCTGTCGAGGATCCAGCCACCACTTATCTCCTTCGTCACTGTCCACCTGTGGCTGCGGGGACGTGCTTGGCTCTGGGCCTATCTTTTGGCCTTCGGTGTCCTCCGGAGGCATTGCCAGAGAGGAGGGTCCTGGAGAGGGAGGCCTTGCCAACTCCTCTCCCTCACTCTCAGAGTCTGCATCTGTCGATAGCCCAGGCTCAGGCAACGGAACCACAACAGGTGCTCCCTGAGCTGAGTGGTTTTGTTGCATGTTTCATGACCCAACTAGAGAACATCTTCAGTACTAGACGGAATGGGGTGTGCGGAGAGGAAGAGGAGGAGGAGGAGGACTATGGGGTCCATAGTTCTCTCTATGCTTGGTGGTTTTCTTGCAGACATTTCATTACCCAATGTTGTGGTCCGCCAGCAGCCTGTGGAGCTAGCAGCAGAGTTGGACAGTGTTGTGGCCCGCCAGTGGCCTGCGCGGATCATGGCTGATCCCGACGACGAGGAGGCTGGTGTGGTGTCGCGCCAGCAGCCTGCGCAGCCGGCGCTCGCGTCGGACAGCGAGGAGGCTGAAGAGGATATGGTGCCAGAAGCAGAGACTCAGCCTGGGCCTTCAGAACCTCCAGAGGCTCCTTCCAGTGGAGAGAGCGAAGTGGAGGAGCCTCTCCTCAATGCTCGGGCACGCAGGGCTGCCAAAAGGCAGGAGTGGCTACTCAGGAGGAGGAGGTCTCCTCGAGAGTAAGGCTTGAGGATACTTGGCCACTCCCTTAGCCTATTTAAGTCGCACACAGTTAGTAAGTTTCTTGCTGGAAACAACTTGTAATTATCATCAGAGCATTTTTGGAAAAGTCTTATCTTGCTTTCTGGGCTGGTTGCCAACCTTTGCTGGACTTTGGTTTATTCTGGCTACTTAATAAATTTGATAAGGACTGTTGGTGTGTGTCTATATCCTTGGAAATCCGGAGCTGGGGCAGAACAGACAGTGAGGAGGCTGGGGAGGACCATGGGCCAGTCCTGGAGTCTGGGGAAGGCTCGGACAAGGGCTCTGCATCGGAGGCAGAGAAAGGGCCATCTGGGAGGTACGTGCTGCCTCCGGAGCCTCTAGAGTCAGACCTCAGTGAGGTAGAGGAACAGGGGGAGCCTGTTCCCAGTGCGCGCATGCGCAGAGCTGCCAGAAGGCAAGAACAGTTAAAACAAAAGGGACAACTCAGGAGTAGGGCTTGGAGATGATTGGCCCCTCCCATAAGGCTTAAAAGAGGAGCAAAGGCACGTGGGCCTTTGCAAGAAGCAACTTTGTTCATTCTGTGCAGTTTAAAGTCTGAAGCTCTGTTTGATTCTGGACTCCGTGTGGCTTTGCCAAGTAGGTCTTTGGCACCATGTCAAGGGAGATAAAAGTAGGTGATTAACCCCGAAAGGACTTTTTGTAACTAATTGGGACTCAGCTGCGAATGACCATAATTCACAGCTGTTGCAATAAAAGGTATTTGGAACTACTTGTGTATTTTAATGACTCAGGAAGCCGAGGTCACAACACCCAACTAGATAACATCATCAGTGTTAGAAGAGAGGGGGGAGGAGGAGGAGGAGGAGGAGGAGGAGGAGGAGGAGGAGGAATGTGAGGTCCTGGATGATCTGAGCTTGCTTGTTTTCTTGCAGATGTTTCATTACCCTACTAGGTAACATTATCAGTGCAAGAAGGAACAGTGGTGTCTGGAGTGGAGGAGGAGGACTGTGAGGTCCTTGGTGCTATCAGAACTTGGTAGTTTTCTGGCAGATGTTTCATTACCCAACTAGGTAACCTCATCAGTGCTAGAAGGAAGGAGGTTGTACCCTGTTTCCCCCAAAATAAGACATCCCCTGATAATAAGCCCAATTTTTTGAGCACATGGCAATAGGGCCAAACACTTATTTCAAGGTTCAAAAAAATATAAGACAGGGTCTTATTTTCGGGGAAACATGGAAGAGAGGAAGAGGAGGAGGAGAGGAGGAGAAGGAGGACGACTGAAGGGTCCTTGGTGCTTTCTGAGCTTGGAGGTTTTCTTACAGACATTTCATGACCCAACTAGGTAACATTGTCAGTCCTGGAATGTGTAAACCCCCCTCTTCCTTCTAGCACTGATCATGTACCCTAGTCGGGTCACAAAACGTCTGCAAGAAATCCACCCAGCTCAGAGAGCATCAAGGACCCCACAGTTCAAACCCGAGCTGCCAACTTTCTCTTCTCTCGATTCTCTCAAGGCAACTGTGGCAAAGGTCCCACAGGTCCCACTGACCAGTGGAAGAAAAGTCCCAGATTCTGATGGGGCGAGAAGAAACGGTTGTCGAGGAAGTAGAGCTGGCTGTAATATTCCATCAGGAGTTCAAGGCCCGCCTTGTTCCGGCTGGGTGCCCGCATGGCCTGTTGGGGACACAAGACGGGAGAAAGGCAAAGAGCCATGAATAACAGTCGGAAGGGGCCTTCGAGGTCATCCAGTCCAACCCTCTGCTCAAGCAGGAGACCCTATCCTATTGGTTGTCCAATCTCTTCTTAAACACTTCGTGTTGGAACATTCTGGAGGCCAGTAGTTCCACTGGTTAATTGTTCTGTCAATGGGGATACAGAATAACAGAGTAATAGAATTGGAAGGGGCCTTCGGGGATCATCTAGTCTAACCCCATGCTCAAGCAGGAAATCCAGTCCCGTTTTGGAAAAACTGGTTGTCCAATCTCTTCTTCAAAGCCTCCAGTGATGGAGCAACAGGTCGCCTTCCAAAGGAGATGCCCTACCTTGGCGCAGGTAAGAACTCCAGATTCAACCTCCCGCTCAAAGGACAGGTACAGTCCTCGACTTATGACCACAACTGGGATTGATAAGGCTAGGCAAGGCGGCGGCTAAGCGAACTGCGCCCCCTTTTACAACCTGTTTTTCAACACCGTCGTTAAGGGAATCGGGTGCAGTCGTTCAGCCACTCATGCCGTCCTTAAGCGAACCAAGCTCCCCGACTGACTTGGGTTGCTAGAAGGTCACAAATGGGGAACAACTTGCAAGCGGCTAAATTTTGATCACACAATCTTGGGGAATGCTGCAATGACGGTAAGAGATATGAAAATGGGTACAGGTATTCCTCGACTTACGACCGTTCATTTAGTGACCATTCAAAGTTACAACGGCATTGAAAAAAGGGGACTTATGACCTTTTTCACACTTATGACCATTGCGGCAAACCCTGTGGTCACGGGATTTACATTCGGATGCTTGGCAACTGACTCACATTTATGACTGTCGCCGTATTCAGAAGTCATTTGGCGACCTTCCAACAAGCCAAGTCCACGGGGAAAGCCAGATTCACTTAGCAACCGTGTTACTCGTTTAAGAACCGCACTGAACCAACGCGGCAAGGAAAGTCGTAAAATGGGGCAAATTCACTTCACCAATTTTTCACTCCGCGACATAAATTTTGGGCTCAACTGCGGTCGTAAGATGAGGACTGCCAGCAGTAAGTCACTTTTGAAGGGTCGCTGTGACTTCAAACGGTTGCTAACTATGGTTGTAAGTGGAGGCCTTACCTTAGTGACAAACTAGAGGTGTTTGGCTGCATTGGCTTCCGGTGGACTTCCGGGTGCGCTTCAAGGTGTTGGTGATCACCTTTAAAGCGTTCCATGGCTCAGGGCCGGGGTACTTACGGGACCGCCTTCTGCCACCAATAGCCTCCCACCGGCCGGTTCACTCCCACAGAGAGGGCCTCCTCAGGATGCCGTCGGCCAGAAAATGCCGGCTGGCAACCCCCAGGAGGAGAGCCTTCTCTGTGGTGGCACCTGCCCTCTGGAACGATCTACCTCCAGAGATACGAGTGATCTCCGACCTCCGGACTTTTCGTCGGGCCCTCAAAACTTACTTTTTTCAGTTAGCCGGTCTTTCTTGATTTTAGGGTTGGTTTTAAAATTTTGATACTGATTTTAAATTGACAAGTTTTAAATTATGGGCCAAATTTATTAATTATTTTAAATCTATTTTTAATTGCAACGTTATGTATAAATGTTTTTATTTTGGCTGTTCACCGCCCTGAGTCCGAAAGGAGAAGGGCGGTATAGAAGTTTGAATAATAAAAAATAAATAAAAAATAAGTATGCCAACATTTGGAAGGTGCAGGGGAGGCATTGCAACTGAAATTCTCGAGTTTTCATTGAGATGCCACACCTGCCATCTTGCAACCTTGTCTCCCCCCTCCCAGCAACACACACAAAAACACACACAGAGGGAGGGAGGGAGAGAGAGAGAGAGAGAGACCAGATGCCTTTGGCAATAAGTATGTGAACATCTGGAAGGTGCAGGGGAGGCATTGCAACTGAAATTCTTGAGTTTCCATTGCGATGCCACACCTGTCATCTTGCAAACTTGTGCCCCCCCATGCAACACACACACACACACAGAGGGAGGGAGGGAGGGAGAGAGAGAGAGAGGGAGAGAGACAGAGACAGAGAGAGAGACAGAGAAAGACCAGTGACTATCTGGAAGGTGCAAGGGGAGGCATTGCAACTGAAATTCAGGAGTTTTCATTGTGATGCCACACCTGCCATCTTGCAAACTTGCCCACCCCTCCTGCAACACACACACACACACACACACACACACACACACACATACAAACACATGCCACAGACCAGATGCCTTTTGCCCCCAAAGTTTTCTTGCTCAAAGATGACACACCTGGCGTAAATCCACAAGGGCTTTCAGCTCCTCCTTGTAAGAGTCTTCGTCTTCCTTGTAGTGTTCTTTAATGACGGCCTGGAATTGTGCACAAAACGAAAACACAGTTGTTGTTGTTGTTGTTAGCTCATTTGCCTGAAATTCCCGCTTTCAAGGTCACTGCGTAATCAAGTCCTCGGCTTGCGAACAGAACTGAGTTTTCTGTTGTTCTGTGAGACGTTTATTACACACATTTTGCCCAGTGGTGGGATTCAATTAATTTAACAACCAGTTCTCTGCCCTAATGACCAGCTGGGTAGGCGTGGCTCAGTGGTCATGTGACTGGGTGGACGTGGCCAACTCAACATCACTCACGTCGATCAGTGCTTCGCCTTTGCTGTTACAATGTAACAAGGGTTAACCAGAGAGGCAGTTTCTGTAAGGAGGGCAATAAAGATTAGGCTAGAAATGACACCAGAATGTTTCCTTCCTGCCTTCCTTACAGGATTAGCCCTGTAAAGTGGAAAAAAACAAAATAAGATTTCTTTCAACAACCGGTTCTCTGAACTGCTTAGAAAGTTAACAACCGGTTCTCCAGAATAGGTGCAAACTGTCTGAATCCCGGCATTGATTTTGCCTCATTTTCATGACTGTTCTTGTCGCCGTTGTTAAGTGAATCATTGCAGTTCTTAAGTTAGTCACAGGGTTGTTAAGTGAATCTGGCTCCCCCATGGGCTTTGCTGGTCAGAAGGTCGCAAAGGGGAATCATGTGACACCCCCCCTCCCCCCTGGCAACCGTCATAAGTACGTGCCAGTGGCCAAGCTTCTGAATCTTGATCATGTGACTGTGGGGATTCTTGCAATGGTCGTAACTGTGAAAAACAGTCCTATGTCACTTTTTTCAGTGCCGTCGTAACTTTGAACGGTCACTAAATAGACTGTTGTAAGTCGAGGACAACCTGTAAACCGCTTTCTTCAATTCTATCCGCCCCCGCCCCCCAGCCAGAGAATTTCACACCCCAGTTCCCCAAGGGAAACTCAGTTTTTGGAAATTAGGAATTCATGAGAAGTCCACCAGACTTAAGGGCTGTTTGGTACCCAACTCTTTGCATCCCTTAAAAGGCTGCAGACTGGATCACCAACACCTCCTGCGAGATCTCCTTACCTTCAGAGGAGCTGCCCAGTCCAGTTCTTTGGTCTCCTTCAACCCCAGGGGGATCATCGGGACGCTAATGGAGTCACTGAGAGAGAGAAAGAGAGAGAAGAGAGAGTGGGAGAGATAGAAGAGAGAGAAAGAGAGGGAGAGAAAGAGAGGGGGAAAAAGAGAGAGCAAGAGGGAAGAGAGAGAGAGAAAGAAAGAAGAGAGAGAAAGAGAGAGAAGAGGGTTAGATAGAAGTAGAGAGAGAGGAGAGGGAAAGGGAGAGAGAAAAAAGAGAGAGCAAGAGAGAAGAGGGAGAGAGAGAAAGAGAGAGAGAGAGATAGAAGAAGGAGAGATGGAGAGAGAGAGAGGAGAGAGAAAGAGAGATGAAGAGAGAGAAAAAAGAGGGGAAAAAGAGCAAGAGAGAAGAGAGAGATGGAGTGAGAGAAAAAAAGAGGGGAAAAAGAGCAAGAGAGAAGAGAGAGATGGAGTGAGAGAAAAAAAGAGAGGGGAAAAGAGAGAAGAGAGAGAGAGAGAAAGAGAGGGAGAGAAAGAGAGGGGGAAAAAGAGAGAGCAAGAGGGAAGAGAGAGAGAGAAAGAAAGAAGAGAGAGAAAGAGAGAGAAGAGGGTGAGACAGAAGTAGAGAGAGAGGAGAGAGAAAGGGAGAAAGAGAAAAAAGAGAGAGCAAGAGAGAAGAGGGAGAGAGAGAAAGAGAGAGAGAGATAGAAGAAGGAGAGATGGAGAGAGAGAGGAGAGAGAAAGAGAGATGAAGAGAGAGAAAAAAGAGGGGAAAAAGAGCAGAGAGAAGAGAGAGATGGAGTGAGAGAAAAAAAGAGAGGGGAAAAAAGAGAGAAGAGAGAGAGAGAGAAAGAGAGGGAGAGAAAAAAGAGGGGAAAAAGAGAGAGTAAGAAAGAAGAGGGAGAAAGAGAGAGAGAGAAGAGGGTGAGACAGAAGTAGATAGAGAGGAAAGAAAGACAGAGGGAGAAAGAGAGAGAAAAGAGAGCAAGAGAGAGAGAGGAGAGGGAGAGACGGAGAGAGAGGAGAGAGAAAGAGAGATGAAGATAGAGAAAAAAATGGGGAAAAAATAGAGAGCAAGAGAGAAGAGAGAGAGAGAGAAAGAGAGGGAGAGAAAAAGAGAGGGGGAGAGAGAAAAAGAAAGAAAGAGAGAGAGAGGGAGGGAGGGAGAGAAACGGTGAGAAGGATGAGAGCAAATTTTGGAGGAGCCACAGAGGCCCAATTATAGGTATTCCTCAATTTACAACCGTTCGTTTAGTGACCGTTCAATGTTACGACACTGAAAAAAGGCCCGTTTTTCACACTTGCGACCGTTGCAGCATCCCCAGGGTCACGTGATATAAATTCAGAGGCTCGGCAACTGGTTCATATTTATGACGGTCGCAGTGTCCCGGAGTTACGTGATCCCCTTTTGCAACCTCCTGACAAGCAAAGTCGATGGGGAAGCCCGATTCACTTAACAACCGGGTTCCTTACTTAACAACTGTAGTGATTCACTCAACCAATGTGGTAAGGAAAATCATAAAACAGGGCAAACGTCTCACTTAACAACTGTCTCGCTTAGCGACAGAAAGTTTGGATTCCCTTGTGGACTTTTGGCTTGGGCTTGTTGGAAGGTCACAAAAGAGGATCATATCAGAATGGAGAAGATGGATTGACTATATGCAAAAAAAGTACCCGAACAAGAAGATTCATATAGTTTATGAATGAAATATTTTTAAGTAGTTTATGTTTATAGTTTTTGAGCTATAAGGAGTTAAAGGCCTAGGGAGAATATGAATGCAATAATTTGTTAGCATATTTTAGCTTTATGTTTGTGAATGCTATACCCTGTGCCTGTTCTGGGAAGTCTAGGGAGGGGGGTTGGGGGGAAAGGGGGAAAGGGTGGGGGAGGAAAAATGTTTATATTTCTTATAAAACTTTTCAATAAAAAAAAAAAGAATAATGCGGGGGGGGGGAGGGCCCAGCTCCCGAACAAAGAGAACCGGTTCAGTGACGTCATATCATCACCGTTATCGGCTCGGCCGAACCGGACCGAACCGGGAGAAACCCACCACTGCTACATACTCTGTATAACTCATAGTACAATAAAACATGTGAGATTAAAAAAAAAAAAAGGGGGGGGATCACGTGACCCCGGGGACACTGCAACCGTCATAAATACGAGTCAGTTGCCAAGCATCCGAATTTTGATCCCGTGACTGTGAGGAAGGCTGCCACGATCTTAAGTTGCTTTTTTTTCCAGCGCCGTCGTAACTTTGAACTGTCGCTAAACGAACGGTTGTAACCTGGGGACTTCCCGTATTGCAAAAGTATATTCCGAAGTTTAATATTCAGAATGCGGCTCATTAAGTCGCCCTGCCTATTTAACTTACATGCAGAGCACATCATGAGAAAGGTGGGGCTGGACGACTTCCGGTTGGCACCGCAGGGACACAGATGGGGAAATGGCGAGCTCCGCAGAGCTTCGCCAAAACCCCGTCTGCTAAGCTGCCGACAGGTCTGCGGACCTCCCCTGTCTTGCAGGGACAGGGGGACAAGAAGGGACCCCTTGGGCGGCCGAGAGGAATGGGCAGGTTCCTCGGAGCCGGAGGTTTTCCCTTCATGCAGGCGGCAGTGGAACGACAGCCATGGCGGCTGTCCCGAAACTGAGAAAGGTGGGGCTGGATGACTGAAAAGTTGGAATTAAGATTGCCGGGAGAAATATCAACAACCTCAGATATAACGATGATACCACTCTAATGGCAGAAAGTGAAGAGGAGCGGAAGAGCCTCTTGATGCGGGTGAAGAAGGAGAGTGCAAAAGTTGGCTTGAAACCAGTGCTGAAATGTAAAATTTGTTACTACCGGTTCTGTGGGCATGGCTTGGTGGGTGGGTGGGGTATGTGACTGGGTGGGCTTGGCCAAGTTTTTTTTTTAAAAAAAACTTTTAAAACCATTTTTTCTACAACTTCTTCGGCCAGAGAGGTTGTTGTAAAAAAAAAAAAATGCTTTTAAAAGCCTCTGACGATCAGGCAACTCAGCTGGGATCATCAGAGAGGCTTTTAAAAGCATTTTTTCTACAACTTCTTCGGCTGAAAAGGTTGTAGAAAAAATGCTTTTAAAAGCCACTGACGATCCCAGCTGAGCCGCACGATCATCAGAGGCTCTTTTTTTTTTTTTTAAAGCATTTTGTCCGCCAAAGAGGTTGTAGAAAAAATGCTTTTAAATTTTTTTTAAAAAAGCCTCTGATGATCGCGCGGCTCAGCTCGACATTGGGGGAGGGGGCAGGGATGTTTGCTACCGGTTCTCTGAACCACCCCGCCATTGCTACCGGATCAGGTGATCCGGTCCAAACCGGGAGCATTTCACCCCTGCTTGAAACTCAACATTAAAAAAAACTAAGATCATGGCATCCGGCCCTCTCAATTCCTGGCAAATAGATGGGGAAGAAATGGAGGTAGTGACAGATTTTATTTTCCTGGGCTCCAAGATCACCGCAGATGGGGGCTGTAGCCAAGAAATTAAAAGAGGCTTGCTCCTGGGGAGGAAAGCTATGGCAAATCTAGACAGCACCCTAAAAAGCAGAGACATCACCCTGCCAACAAAAGTGGTTTTCCCAGTTGCAATGGATGGCTGTGAAAGTTGGGCCATAAGGAAGGCTGAGTGCCAAAGAATGGAGGCCTTTGAACTCTGGTGCTGGAGAAGACTCCTGCGAGTCCCTTGGACTGCAAGGCGATCCAACCGGTCAGTCCTAGAGGAGATCAACCCTGACTGCTCTTGAGAAGGCCAGATCCTGAAGAGGAAACTCAAATACTCTGGCCACCTAATGAGAAGGAAGGACTCCCTGGAGAAGAGCCTAATGCTGGGAAAGATGGAGGGCAAAAGAAGAAGAAGGGGACAGCAGAGAACGAGGTGGCTGGGATGGAGTCACTGAAGCAGTCGGCATGAGCTTCAATGGACTCCAGGGGATGGTAGAGGACAGGAAGGCCTGGAGGAACGTTGTCCATGGGGTCGTGATGGGTCAGACACAACTTTATGACTAACAACAACAACAACAAAAGTGACTCAGATGATCTGGCTGATGCCCTCAGTTGTTTGTTCCAGGACATGTTCTCAACCCGGTCGGCGTTCGTCACTGCGTGAGTCAACTTGGAAAATTAGCCGGGGGAATTTTGAAAGTCAGGAAATCTGCTGGGAGAATTCCAGTTCTCTTCGCTTCGGAGAACCAGTTTTTTTCCAGAGCTTATTTGGTTTATTTCTCAGGAAGAAGGAAGATACCGGCCGCCCTCGACTTACGACCAATCGATCGAGCCCAACATTTCGGTCGGTAAGTGAGCTTTGCCCCCATTTTTAGGACCTTCCTTGCCGTCAGCGGTTAAGTGGAATCGCGGCAGGGGGTAAAGTGGGCAACCTGGTTGTTAAGCGAACCTTGGCTTCCCCATTGATTTTGCTTGTCAAAAGGTCTGGAAAAAGGGATCACCTTACGACGGTCGTAAGGATGAGTCAGTTGTTTGTTGAATTTTGATCGCGGGACCGTGGGGATGCTACAGAGGTCGTAAGTGCGAAAAAACGTCCCTGAGTCACTTTATTTCCGGTGCCGTTGTAACTTCGGTCACTAAATGAATGGTTGTAAGTTGAGGACTACTTGCAATGTACTGAATGGCTTGAAAAATCAATTGGTTCTCAAGTTCTGACAGCTGAATCCCTTCCTCCACCCGGCAACTGGCCCGCATTTATGGCCGTTAAGGTATTTCACATGACCTCGTTTTAAGACAGCTCTGCCAAAAAGTGGCGTTTTCGGTTTTCAGCAAAAGTGTTCCATTACTTTGCTTAATGACCGTGGTGGTGTCTATTAATAGCAGCCACATAAAAGGTTGTAAAATCAGGCTGGTCGCATGGGTGACCTGTTTTACGACTGTAATGGGCAGCAGGCTCCATTACGGTCGTTAAGTGGAGGAGGTTTTGAGAAGGTCCAAGATTCCATTCCAGAGATGTCCAGTGGAAAGGCAAATTTTAATTTTGCAAATTAAGTTCGCAAAGGACGACTTAATTTCCCAACCCCTGAAGTCCACCCCCAGAATCTTCCCCTGTCTCCAAACTGACAGCTGTCAATCACCTCACCTGTCATTCTGGTAGACCTCCATGCAACTGTTCAGCTCTTCCAGTTCCTCCTTCAGTAGCTGCAAGTTGGAGTTGACGTAGCTGAGTTCCAAAGCAACCGTCTCTTTGACTTTGTGGTTACTGGTGGCCCTGAGACCAAAGTGAAGAAAAGAGAAAAAAAAATTACTCAGTCTCTGCAAGTTAGTCCTCGACTTACAATGGTCCATTTAGTGACCCTTCGAAGTTACGACTGCACTGAAAAAAAGTGACTTAGGATCGGTTTTCCACAACTGCGACCTTTGTAGCATCCCTGCCTGCGATCATGTGATCAAAATTCAGATGTTTGGCAACTGACTCGTACTTATGACGGTTGCAGTGTCCCCAGAGGGTCATGTGATCCACTTTTGTGACCTTCTGACAAGCCAAGTCAATTGTGAAGTCTGATTCACTTAACAACCGCGGGACTAACTTAACAACCGCAGTGGTTCACTTAACAACCGAGGCAAGGGAGGTTGTAAAACAGGATAAAACCCGCTTAACTGATGTCTCACTTTACAACGGAAATGTTGGGTCGTAAGTCGAGGATTACCTGCACACGGTTGAGAGATCTTTCGTTTTTTTCTACAGTTAGTCCTCGACTTACAATAGTCCATTTAGTGACCGTTCAAAGTTACAATGGCACTGAAAAAAGAGGCTTACGACGGTTTTTCACAGGTACGACCATTCCAGTATCTCCCTGGTTCACATGATTTACATTGAGAGGCTTGGCAACTGTTTCATACTTATGACGGTTGCAGAGTCCCCGGGTGTGTGTGTGGTGTGTGACGTAATCTCCTTTTACGACCTTCCAACCAGCAAAGACAATGGAGAAGCCAGATTCAGTTAACAACCGTGCGACTAATTTAACAACGGCAGTGATTCACTTAACAACGATGGCAAGAAAAGTAGTAAAACGGGACAAAACACGCTTAACAAATTTCCTCAGTTAACCACATAATTTTTGGGCTCAATTGTGGTCGTAAGTCGAGGACTACCTGTAATAATAATAATAATAATAATAATAATAATAATAATAATAATAGTCAACGCTGGTCAATGATATTTGTGATACATTTTTAAATGTTCAGTTGACCGAGTTTCAATAAAATAATAAAAATAACATCCTCATCAACAACAATAATAATAATAATCTGCCTATCCCAGGTCCTTGGTAAGGACGCAATCGGTAGACAAAAATGCCAAACCTACTGAACATCTGGCTGACTGTGCAATTAATAATAATAATACCAGGAGATGACAGAGTCGAAGAAAAAGAACTGGAAAAAAAATCATGAAATATCGCGACGTGGACATCGAAACTATTCGGCTATGGATGAAACATGTATCCGTGATACCCATTGTCATTGGGGAACTTGGTACCACGTCCAAGAATTATGCAAAATAGATCAAGAAATTGCAGCTTCCTGCAATAACACCAGCGGAACTGCTAAAATCCGCACTACTTGGAACATGCCATCAACTTGGAACATGCCAGCTACTTGGAACATTTCCGCCATGCCATCTTTTCCAGCAGGCCGGCCTGGCCTAACCTCTCTTTTAAACTTTTTAAAATTTCTAAATTTTAAATTTTGTCTTATGAATTTGGGGGTTTTAAATTTCGTTCTCTGAGCCAATTATTTAATTGGCTCAATTGTATGTTAATTGGTTTTTAACATTTGCATTATATGTATTTTATTTGGCTGTTCACCGCCCTGAGTCCTTCGGGAGTAGGGCGGTATACAAATTTAATAAATAAATAAATAAATAAATAAATAAAAAAATAAATAAACAAACAAACAAACAAACATCGTACATCTTAAGAAGGGACTTGGTTGATCCCTAGGACGCTGGCAGCAACCCATATCAACCATTAGCTCCAGTCAATGGTATTTGTGATGCATTTTTGAATGTTCAGTTGACTGAGTTTCATGTTTAACGAATAAAGTAAATAATAATAACAACAACTACTACAACAATAAAGTCCTAAACGCTTGGGAAGTGTTCGACTAGTGATTTGGGATACGAAGTCCAGCATGGTCATCTCGTTTGCTGTGTATACTGTCAATTTAAACAATAATAACCATCAGTGCTGGTTAATGATATTTGTAATACATTTTTAAATGTTCAGTTGACTGAGTTTCATGTTTAATGAATAAAAGTTTATAAAAATAGCAATCTTGTTTTGACAGATGCCAGGATGGAAAACGGACACGTCCCAGGGGAACGTCCCAGCCCAGTGTCCCACGAGGGGGAGGCGCCTTGGAAACTGCAATTCCCAACGCTCGCCATTCCCGCTCAGGCTGAGCCAAAGGAATCTGTGCCCGGCTGCAGACTGAGATAAAACACTGTTGACGTGTTACAAAATTTGTGGCATGCAGGACTCCAAGGAAGAGAACCTCCTTGGTAGCCTTCCTACAACTTGGGTCTCTCCAGATAAGCTGAAACACAGGTGGACCTCGACTTACGGCCAAAGTTGAAATCAGAATTTCCATGGCTAAGCAAGAATGGTTGTGGAATCGTGCCAAATATATGACCTTTTGGCCATGGTTGTTAAGCGAATCAGTCATTAAGTGAATCCAGCTTCCCCTCCTGTTGACTTTGTTAAGAGTGGGCTGGGAAGGACGCGGATGGAGATCCTTCCCTAGGATCCTGCAATTGCTTGCCAAGCGCCCAACTTTTGATCACGGGGATGCTGCAACGGACATAAGGGCGAGGACAGATCATAAGTCACTTTGACGTTGTAACTTAAAACAGTTGTTAAATGAATAGTCGTAAATCAAGGGTTGCCTGTGCAGGTAGTTGTCCTTAACTTACAACAATTGAGCCCAAAATTTCCACCACAGTTGTTAAGTGAGTTTTGCCCCATTTTACGTCCTTTCTTGCCACCGTTGTTAAGTGAATCGCTGCAGGTATTACGTCAGTAACACAACTGTTAGCTGCATCTGGCTTCCGCATGGACTTGGCTCGCAAAAGGGGATCACATAACCCCAGGACACTGCAACTGTCATAAGTACATGCCAGTTGCCAAGTGTTTAAATTTTGATCACGTGACACAACAGCCGTAAGTGTGAAAAACGGTCATAACTAAGCTACTTTTTTTCAGCACCTTTATAACGTCAAATAGCTGCTAAACAAATGGATGTAAATTAAGAACCGCCTGCAATACAACGTCAACAAAACGGACAGAAATTGGTTGAGAATTTAGCACAATGGCCATGAATATTGAAAAAGCCTTCAGTGAAGATACTTGTATAAGTGGGAATTTTTTTTTGCAGGCATTGACTTATCCAGAAAGGATGTTTTGAATGTTTTCAAGCCAACATCTCCCTTCTTTGGACTACGTGAGTGTGTAGGCAGTTGTGTGCACTGCGTACCTCTGCAAATGTTTTCCTTTCCTCCCTTTCTAAGTTTCTGAAATTCAAGAGCCAAAAAAATTTGCTGAGCATCAGGTAAAAAAAGAGGCTGCGGAGGTCACCAGCTGTGGCCTTTTCATCAGAACTTTGCATACCAACTGCCCCTAAGTTGCAGCTTTTGGGTTTTTCACTCTTCAAGCAAGCTGTTGTGGCCCCTACACGGCCTGTGCAGCTAGTAGCTGATTCCAACAGCGAGGAGGCTGGTGTGGTGCTGCGCCAGCAGCCTGTGCAGCTGGCTCTTGAGTCGGACAGTGAGGAGGTTGGAGAAGATGTGGTGCCAGAGGCGGGGATTCAACCAGGGCCTTCAGAACCTCCAGAAGCTCCCATAAGTAAAGAGGAAGAAGAGGAGGAGCCTCTTCTCGATGCACGGGCGCACAGAACTGCCAAAAAGCAGGAGTGGCTCCTCAGGAGGAGGTCTCCTCGAAAGTAAGGCTTGGGGCTAATTGGCCACTCCCTTAGCCTATTTAAGGAGGAATGCCGACTGAAGCAATTTGCAGGGAACAACTCCGTTCACATACCTTCGTGTCTTGTCTTGCTTATCTTATCAGCTTCCTGCAAATTGCTTCTGGGCATTCTGCCAACCATAGTAAGCTTTCAGTTATTATTCTTTGAATTCTTGGCGGCTGTTAATGCAGTTAATTAACAACCGTTGTTGTAAAAAACTGGTTTCTTTAGTAAACTAAGGTTTGAACGGACTTTGTGTGTGCTGCATTCTTTGGGGTCCGTAGCTGGGGCAGAACACAAGCAAAGCCATCCCCGTTTACGTCTTCTGGTGACTCGTCTCAAAGAAGGAACCCTTGTGACGAACCCGCGTTATTCGCACTCGCCTTTAGGATGCTAATTTAGCTCACACAAACCTGAACAGATTCTCGGCCCCGGTTCTCATCCTCATCTCTTTGTTGATCTGCTGGTTGATTCTTGCACGGCGGTGTTGTAACTTGGTGCGTTGTGTCTGGGCCAAGGAGTCGCAACCCTGCCAAAAAAAAAAAAGGAAATTAAGCATAATGACAACAACTACAACAACAACAAATAAGGACAATGTCCCTGAAGGACATTGAAGAAAAGGTAGCTTTTTTTCCAAGAGGCAACTGGACTTTCTGGTTTTTCTTTGAAGACGTTTCGCTTCTCACCAGAGAAGCTCCTTCAGCTCCGATGGTGGGGAATGGAAGGATTTATCTCCATCCAGTCAGAGCTGAAGAAGCTTCTCGGGAGAGAAGCAAAAGATCTTCAAAGAAAAAAGTCCAGTTCCCTCTTGAGAAAATACTGTAGGAAATTAGCACTCACCCGTCTCCTAAAGGTAAAGGTTCCCCTCGCACATATGTGCTAGTCGTTCCCAACTCTAGGGGGCGGTGCTCACCTCCATTTCAAAGCCGAAGAGCCAGCACTGTCCGAAGACGTCTCCGTGGTCACGTGGCCGGCATGACTCAACGCCAAAGGCGCACGGAACGCTGTTCCCTTCCCACCAAAAGTGGTCCCTATTTTTCTACTTGCATTTTTTTAACTGCTTTCGAACTGCTAGGTTGGCAGAAGCTGGGACAAGTCACGGGAGCTCACCCCGTTATGCGGCACTAGGGATTCGAACTGTTGAACTGCCGACCTTTCGCTCGATAAGCTCAGTATTTTAGCCAACTGAGCCACCGTGTCCCTTACCCCTCTCCTAGAAAAATGAAATATTCTAGGAAATATTAAAAAAAAGACAGAATATTATACCTCCCTCGATGAGAAATGGAGAAACATGTTTTTTAGGCAGGAAGCAGACTCACTCTTAATAGCCCCCACACTCTCAATAGCCCACAGCAGATGTCTGCGCTTAAGAGATAAAGAGATAGCTAGGTCTATCCATAAGCAAATGCCCTCACCCAAGATCCAACAAAGGTAGGATTAGCCCTCTATCCATCTAGCAACAAAACTCACCACATAGCACCTGGGGAGATTGCATCACTCAGCAAGGCTCAACCAAGCCTAGGACTCAAAAGATAACCTTACTCTTGCATGGCCCCATGGGAGTCTGACAACCAATCAGAATACAAGCTCAAATTCAAAGCCCAACAAAGGGTATAAATCTCTCTCTCTGTCACCCATGTGCCTTTTTGCCCAGGACCTCAAAACCATGTAGTCCTGTCCACCAATAAACCATCTTTTCAAGCAGCCACCATGTTTCCAGTGTCTTTCTCCCCACTTGGAATTGAACCCAGGTGGACATTTCTTCCAATACCACCTTTGGGACAACCCTGGACGACGGAGACGACGGAGAATCTCCACAGACATTTAACATGGATATGGTTGAGATCAGAAGAAAGAAACTGAAGGCTTCATTTTGGCTGCCTAAGAACAAACCCAGCAGACCAATTCCATGAAAGCAAAAATTCAACCCGTCAGCAAAAGGTCGCTTATGCAACGAGAAAAATGAAACAGTGGATCACCTTATCAGGGGGCTGAAGCAATAATCTCACAAATGGATTATCTACGACGTCACGATCGAGTTGCCAAAATCATACATGGGAAGCTTTGCCAGAAGTTTGGGTTCGAATGCAAGCAAAAATCACCGGGAACAACGAATTGACAAAGTTCTTGCAAATGAGCAAGTCAAGATCCTGTGGGACTTTCGGATCCAGACAGACAGACCTCTGGCCCACAACACGCCTGACATCACTGTTGTGGAAAAGAAAAGTATCTGGTTCGTTGATATTGCAATATCAGGTGATGCAGGAATTGGAGAGAAACAGCTAGAAAAAATAACGAAATATCACGATCTGCAAATTGAAGTCGGGCGATTGTGGAGGAAGAAATAAATGGTTGTGCCAATAATAGCAGGAGCCCTTGGAGCAATCCCCAAAGAGCTGCCTAGATATGTGGAAATTTTGAATTTATCAGACCTGACTATTCTGATTTTGCAAAAAAAACAAACAAACACATTATTCAGAACTGCCTATATAGTCAGATGTTACCTTAACAGCTCTTAGGTCCTTGGTAAAGATCTGTTAAGTTTTGTACCACTCCCAGACTGGGAATCTAATTGAAGATTAAATCAATAACAACAACAACAACAACAACAACTCCCTGTTAAAGCGAGATCTTCTGAATTTGGAAAAGGCTGATCTGAAAGCAGAAACGAGGGCTGGTTTTCAGCAAGTGAAATACTGGACTTATTTTCATATCTTTCCAGCTGGATCTTCCGAGCACAAATTAAATTAAAAGCACAGGGTAATATTTACCTGGCAGCTTCCAGAGTGTGCTAAACGGTTCACACATACATTACGGTAATATTGCATCCCTGTTTATACAGCAGATGAAAAAAATGTTTTTTTAAAAAATTTATGCAGTGATCTTGCTAGAATGAATTTACTTTGCAAGACTGATTTTAGATGTGGGAGTAACACAACAGAGGCATCTCAACATTCAGAACATTTTCTGATAAATTTCCTTACAGTTTCAGTGTAACCTCCTCTCAAGGAAGGGGGATTAGGTTTTTAATTTTGCAAACCGAACCACAAATTGAATTTCCAGCTTAATTTCTAGAAAATACATTCATAATTGACAGAAGTGGGGAAAAAAAACCACTAACCCCTACTTCAAATCAAAACTGAATCTTTTGGTTGAAGTATTTCCATAAATAATTATATATACTCTACTCTACTCTACTCTACTCTACTCTGCTCTGCTCTGCTCTGCTCTGCTCTACTCTAATCTTGTATAAATAATTATGAAGAATAGTTGCAGGAATTGGATATGGCCAGTCTAGAAAAAAGAAGGACCAGGAGTGACATGATAGCAGTTTTCCAGTATTTGAGGGGCTGCCCCAAAGAAGAGGGGGTCAAATTATTCTCTAAAGCACCTGAAGGCAGGAGAAGAAGCAAAGGATGGAAACTGAACAAGGAGAGAAGCAACCTAGAAATAAGGAGAAACTTCTTAACAGTGAGGACAATTAACCAGTGGAACAGCTTGCCACTAGAAGTTGTGGTTGTTTCATCACTGAAGTTTTTAAAGAAACTGGAGAGTCACTTGTCAGAATGGAATAGGGTTTCCTGCCTGAGCAGCTTTATTCTGATTGATCTTGAGCCCAAGTTTGACATTCCACCTGATTTACTTAAGAGTAATTGCTACTGAACTCAACAAAACATTTCCCCAATAAAATGTGCATAAAAAGTTCAAAACTACATTTAGTCCTTGATTTACAACCAGTCGTTTAGTGACCATCAAGTGAGTTATGACCTTTTTTCACACTTACGACCATTGCAGAATTCTTACAGTCATCTGATCAAAATTTGGACAATTTGGCAACTAACTCATATTTATGGCGAGTCTGCAGTGTCCTGGGGTCCGACAAGCAAAGTCCAGAGGGAAGTCAGATTTGGTTATCAACCGGGTTACTAACCTATCAATGGCGGTGATTCACTTAGCAACTGAGGCCAGAAAGGTCATAAAACGGGGCAAAATACACATAACTGTCTCGCTTAGCAACAAAATTCTGGGCTCCATTGCGGTTATTCGCCAAGGACTCTCTGTAAAATGCACATCCAGAAAAATTCCAAACTTTTCCAAAATTTAAATATTGAATAAAGCCAAGTGAGGGACGATGCAAATGTATTGTTAAATAATCCCACTGAAGTTTAGTGTTTTTTAAAACTTTCCCAGAGCGAACTCATCTTGGGGGGGTGGAGGTGGGAGGAGGAGGAGCAGTGTTATTGTAAGGAGAAACCATTCCTGTAAATGATGAAATGAAACTTTCTAAAGTTGTCCAGACGTGGGAAGAAAGGGCCCCTTTGAGAGTGAGGGGTGAGTCAGCGATGAAGAATACACCACGCTGACCTTCAGATAAAGCCCTCCTTCCACCGAACCCCCAGCCTTAGCAACCAAGAGTACAAGTTATGTCAGAATTCCTTCAGGCCAGGGCCTGCCCCCCCTCCCAATTTACTTTCAAAAGCTGGGTACAAAAAAGGGAGAGACATTCCATTCGGCTGAATAGCGAAGTTCAGTTAAAAGGAGAATATTTGTGGCTCAGGGAGGAAATGAAGGGTCCTTGGTGCTTTCTGAGCTTGTAGGTTCTTGGACACGTTTCATGAGTCAACTAGGTAACATCATCAGTGCTAGAAGGGATGTGTTTGTGGAGAGAGGAGGAAGAGGAGGAAGGAAGAAGGAGGAGGAGGAGAAGGAGGAGGACTATGGGTCCCTGGTGTTCTCTGAGCTTGTGTTTTTTTTGCAGATGTTTCATTACCCAACTAGGTAACATCATGAGTGCTAGAAGGAGTGGGTTGTGAGAAGAGGAGGAGAAGAGGAGGAGGAGAAGGAGGACGAGAAGGAGGAGGACTATGGGTCCCTGTGTTCCTGATTGGTGGTTTTCTTGCAGATGTTTCATTACCCAACTAGGTAACATCATGAGTGCTAGAAGAGTTGGTGGGAAGGAGGAGGAGAAGAGGAAGGAAAGAGGACGAGGACGAGAAGGAGGAGGACTATGGGGTCCCTGGTGTTCTCTGAGCTTGGTGGTTTTCTTGCAGATGTTTCATTACCCAACTAGATAACATCATCAGTGCTAGAAGGGAGTTGGGTTTGTGGAGAGGAGGAGAGGAGGAAGAGGAGGAGGATGATGATGACAACAACTGTGAGATCCTTGGTGCTTTCTGAGCTTGATTGCTTTCTTGCAGACGTTTCCTTACCAAACTAGATAACATCATCAGTGCTAGAAGGAGAAATTCTTGGGATAGTAACTTTTTTATTTAGTTAGTGCGACTCTGAGGTTGCCCGAGTCCTTAATTTAAGAGTGTAAACTGTGTTCTGCTGGATTGGGCACCTGATCTATTTAATCCACAACTTGCACCAACCAAGGAGGCCAACCAAGGAGGACCAGTAAAAGTTGATCTTCGGAGTTGGTCCTGCTGCCCTCAAAAGTTAAGAACTGCTGATCCGTAGGACTCCCATGAATTGGTCCAACCGAGGACCAACTTTTTTGAAGCCAGCCAGCCAAGGTGGTAGCCA